TAGAGAAAGAAGAAATCACAATCTATTGCAAAGGACAGGAAAAGTGAAAGAGGGGAATGAATGATGAAGTGGAAAGGGAACAATGACAGAAAGGAAGAGTAGTCTGACAGGATTCTCTACGATATCGGTTTTCTGGTAGAGGATTTTCTCTCTCTCTCTCTCTGCTGACTGTAATGCTGTGTCCTAAATGGCAACTTATTCCCTGTAGAGTGCATTACCTTTTACCCCCATGGCCCTGGTCAAAATTAGTGTACTAAATAGGGAATAGGGTGCCATTTGGGATGCAATCTATGGCTCTGTTCACTGTAGTTATTTGAGATAGGCAGAGAATTCACTCTACTTAGCCAAAGGTAAAACGGGCAGCGAAAAAAGTCTAGCATTTACCTGCCGTGTCCTCCGGACTTGTACTTCCTTAAATGCAAATGTGTGTGAACGTGTGTATGTCTGCATATGTGCATGCATGTATGAGTTTTACACTCTATCAAAAATAGGTCTGATTAGGGGTTGAGTTAGAAGGCAACAAAGTTCTACCACCTTAAGAAACATTCAATGGTAATTTGATAGATTTGAGTTATTATTGAAAATATTTAGGGGACAGTTCAATCAACCAACAAAATCCTAAACCACTATAACCTGGACACCTTCCTTCCCAGATGCCCCACCCCAACCGCCTTCCTTCCTAATAATAATCTTCACTGTACACAGCGAGGTGTGTGACCAATCTCTTACACGAGGGTGTGTATTTCCACCAGGACCATGTGAGCAAACGGGGCCTCTAGCTCATCACACAGACAACACATACGTCACAAATGGCACCCTATTCCCTTTATAGTGCACTATTTTTGACCGGGGCCCATAGGCCTCTGGTCAGAAGTAGTCATTTGCTCACCAGAGCTCAGCAGCCAGGCGAGAGGAGGTCCAGACCAAACAGAAAGAGACGCCAAGTCTAACCTTTTATGTCGGTAATCTTTCCCATCTCCCCCTTTGAAGTTTCAACAGCACAACCTTGAGACAGCAGAGCAAATAACACCTGTCCTATGAAGTCATGCCCGAGGCATCTCCTATCCTCAACTCAGAGTCAGAGACAAAGAGAGAGCTATTGAGAGAGGTCGCCATAGGCAGTCCTGGCTCTCAAGAGAAGACAGGATATGTGCCCACCGTCCACAAAATGAGGTGAAACTGAGCTGCACTTCCTAACCTCCTGACAAATGTATAACCACATTAGATACACATATTTCACACAGATCACACAGACCCACAAATGTTGATAAACTCCCATATCTGGTAGGCGAAATACCACAATGTGCAATCACACCAGCAATATTTGTGGCCTGTTGCCATGAGAAAAGGGCAACCAGTGGAGCACAAACAACATTGTAAATACCACCAATACCTATCTGTTTATCTTCCAGCACTATTCATACTACAACTATGTGCGCATTGCTAAAACAGCTGATAATATAACACTGGAAATGTCTTTATCTTTTTGGAACCTTTTTGAGTGCAATGTTTACCGTTCATTTATTTTTGTTGATGTTGTTACATTTGTTTCTTCTCACTTTTGTTTATTGTTCATTTCACTTGCTTTGGCAATGTAAACATATGTTTACCATACCAATAAAGCCCCTTTGAATTGATTTGAATTGAATTGAGAGACATAGAGACAGACAGACAGAGAGAGAGAGAGAGAGAGAGAGAGAGAGAGAGAGAGAGAGAGAGAGAGGGAGAGAGAGAGAGACAGAGAGAGAGAGAAAGAGAGACAGAGAGAGAGAGCGAGAGAGAGAGAGAGAGACAGAGAGACAGAGAGACAGAGAGACACACAGAGAGAGACACACAGAGAGAGACAGAGAGACAGAGAGACAGAGAGAGATAGAAAGAGAGACAGAGAGACAGAGAGAAAAAGCCCCTGAGGCAGCACTGTGAGCAATAAGAAGACTTAATAGTCATATAAAAGTGGATCCCTAGAAAGTGCAAGTCCTGAAAGTTGTCCCCAGGAAAAATCCTGACATGATTGCGTGAACGCATTGAACCAACAGGAGTGAACTGATATCTGTGAACAAAAGCACCGATTACAGATACATTATTCAAGACTAAATTACTGCAACCCAGATAACAAAATAAGTCAGATTCTGTGCATCCAAAATGTCACCCTATTCCCTATGTAGTGCACTACATAGGGAATAGGTTGCTATTTGGGAAGCAGACATTGTCTACCCTGATCAGATTGTACCGATGAGGACTACAGTCTGTTTTGAGTCTGTACTGAGCTGTTCTTGTGAGACCAACTGGGATCGAATCCGGGTCTCCTGGGCCCAGTTTTTGAAAAGTTATCTATCCGGATTTCACCTATCGGATCCGATTAAATGCATAGAAATGAAATGAATAGAACGGGAGTCCCCATTCAAGTCAATGATTTGTCCGTTCTATTCAATCTATTTCTATGCATTTAATCCTATCCGATAGGCGAAATCCAGATAGAGAACTTTTGAAAAACGGAGCCCTGTGCACCACAAGACTGCTTTAACTCACTGAGCTAAAGCCTAGATATAAGCTCGGGGAGCTAACGCAAATCTTCAAGTCTCAGGTAAGGGTATCCATCACCTGACCTCTCACCAGGAACGTCAACATAATGGGTATAGGATAATGATTGACTTCCAGGGACAGAGGAACAATGCGAATGTAAAGGGCTCCACCCTGGTCAAGGCTGTGTGTAAGCAGAGACGCAGACAGCCAGTGCCATTGTGAAGAATGGCTCACCAAATTATAGGGATATCCAATGACGCCTATGAGGAAAAAAACTTTTCTAAACAACCAAATTTCACTTTGGCCACTTAACCCTTCTTATAAAACATGTCCTCAAAAGAGCTGCTACATTACTCTGTAAGTTTGAAAAGGGGCCCAGAGAAGGAAGTGCTGAGAATAAGGACTCAACAGCCCTTACCATTGTGACAGTGTGCATCACAAATGGCACCCTATTTCCTTTAAGGCGCTACAGGGCGCTGAGTTATTTCTGATGGAGGAGTAACAGTTGCTCTGAGATGCGAGGTAAATGCTGTCCCAGCTTCAACAAGCACGTTGTCCAGAGAAAATAGTCTATGATAGAACATAAGCCCTGTAATGCTACCCTTGTTGGATAATGTGCAACATTGATGAGCGGGAGGAAACTACCACAAAGTGAGACTTTCAGTAAATATGACACAGCTGTTTAAATACATACTTTTCTGTCTTTCTGTCAAATGTGCCGGTACCCAAACGTTGACTGAGAGTGTCAAAATGAACACATTCACTCTCTTATGAATGCTGGAAAGATGTAATATTTTCACAACTGCTCCAGGTCTCTTCTTCCTCCCCAGTTGAATATCATGAAAACATCAGTGTGCTCTTTTTCCCCTCACCTTATTAAGAGTCTACGGTTTATTTGTGCAGTTTGTTTGCATCATCCATATGAAACAGAGGGGAATGTGCGTACATGCTGCTGCATCCAGCAGCTTGGGAAGAGAAAGGTGACCATGGAAAATGCATAATGAGGATTCTGCATGTCTCAAATGGCACTCTATTCCTGTATAATGCACTACTTCTGGCCAGAAGTACAGTATGCTTGGAGTCAGTAACCCATTTTCATATTGATCTTAACTATTTCTGATCAATGACTGTGTTTTACACTGTTTATCTCTAGGTTTCGAATGACCATTTTCCATTGTCTTAAATGCCCCTGAAAAGTACTTAAATGAATTTGACACATAGGCCTATACAGTAGCACATAAATATGTAGCCGAAAACTACTGGATGCATGAGATATAAGATCTGTCCCAAAAGGCAACCTATTCCCTATAGCGCACCCCTTCTGACCAGTGCCCTTAGGGATCTGGTCAAAAGAAGTGCACTATGTAGGGTATAGGGTGCCTTTTGGGACAGATCTTATATCTCATGCATCCAGTAGTTTTCGGCTACATATTTATGTGCTACTGTATAGGCCTATGTGTCAAAGTCATTGAAGTACTTATAGGGTGCCAGTTGGGATGCTCATACTATTTTCTCACAACAAGCCCTAGTACAGCTAGTGAATTAAGACAGTAAACAGATAGAAAACAGTAGATCAGTTGTGTTGAGAAACGCAAACCACCAGTGCAGGTGTGTGGCTCCGGGCACTCCAGGCACTGTGAGACGCTCCATCTCAAGTCAGCTGAGAGCCCGCGCGCTGACTGACAGCTCCCGTCGTCATAGCAGCCGCCATAGCGGCGCCCGCCTGGCTTCGAGTGCTGCTGTGAATGGGATGTCGTCACAGAGCTGGCGCCAGGCAGTCGGTAGAAGTGGGAGCTTGCGGCGAAGCCAGGCAACTCGCTACAGCTACTGCAGTGAGTGCGTTGAGCTCTATGGTGACAAGCAATCATTCGATTGGGTCCAACTTGGTCCAGTGGGTAAGAAATAGGGAAAACTGCGCACAGCTTTAACGCATGGTAAAATAAACTCACTCCAGATGAGCTAGGGCCACGAAACGAAACACTGTGCAATTTCCCTCTATGGACAATAGGCCAATGTAGGCTATCAATAGCTGGAACGTGGAACTGTAGGCTAATACATGGTTCTTGGGGTGAAAATCTCTGGTGAGTAAAACATCTCACTTAGCCTAATTGTAATAGGAGGTAGGCTAGTCTACATTTGGCACACTGATGTGCCTTTAGATCACCTGTAGGCCTACAGTCAGAAGTAGCCTACAGACTCCGATGACTTCAAAATAGACTTTCACATGGGCTCCTCAACCTCATCTCACATGAACAGAGAAGAACATCACTTCAGTGCGCGTCTTCACATAACTTGCTCAAGAATGCGGGAAACATAGGAGGGGTAAAAAAAGATGTGGCCCATTTGAACCAATGCCGTTGCTTGGGATAGTGATTGACACTTCCAGGTAGCCAATCTACGAGCAGTTCGACCCGAGGCGCGATCAGCCGGGTCCACGAGGCTTATAAAACGAATTGACAGCGCACGCACTGCACTGACTCTATGTTGCGAAGACTGGTCTAGGATACCTGCTTCTTTCACGCGTAATATCTTGTCGCACTCAACTGTCATCATGAAAGCAATAAGTCCAGTACGGTCTATGAGAAACAACATCTCCAACTCGTCGGAACATACCCTCGGCATCTCCCGGAGCAAAAGCCCGATGGATGATCCTCTGAGTCTGCTGTACAATATGAACGACTGCTACACCAAGCTGAAAGAACTCGTGCCCAGCCTCCCGCAGAACAAGAACGTTAGTAAAATTGAGATATTGCAGCATGTTATAGACTATATCTTAGACCTTCAGATTGCACTGGACTCTAGCTCAATCATCTCCAGCTGCCAACATCAGCAGCAGCGACCGGGACAGGCAGCATCAGCCAGGAACCCCCTAGCAACCATCAACTCCGACATCAGCCTCCTCACCTTTCAGGTAAGATTACGAATAGAATAGAATAACTTCATTTTTTTTCCCACGAAGGAACTACTGTTTTGGAGTGGTTCAGAAAAAGAAATAGCCTAACATAAACATAGTAGGCTACACAGAAACTAGCTTGTTCAATTGGAGTTCCTATATTTTAATGTAGCCTAACTCCTATGACATGTACAGTATTCATGTAGCCTATGTAATATATGTTATATATGCTTACTTTGGTTAAAGGCTTACAGGCTTATATTCAAATGTTTATTACATTCTTTCCAAAGCAGCCTTATATTCTGCTTCGCATAAATCTGTAAAAATGTAAAAAAATATATTTCGCAATTGATTGTGCCACTGTTGGTTATTGTACAAGTTACAGCTTGGTGGTGAATGAATAGCAGCCTAATAGAGACCAGACCATTGCCACTGTACTAACTCAGAAATGCCAGTAGCCTCGATCTGTAAATAGTGATATTGAACAGTGGTTGTCTTGTGTGTTTTTACAGTCAAGTGACCAGCTCCCCAAAGAGACTGATGACAGCTAAACTCTCCTTCACTGACTGGGTAAGTGTTTCCTTTAATACTGGCATTATTGCATCCATCATTTCCATTTGGAAAAGTCATTTTGTTGAGAGGTAAAAAAGAAGGTGCGCTCAAATGGGTCAAAACTATAAGGACATAGAGACTTGGTATCAGTTACGCTTTGAAAAGGGTAGTCCATGGACTGTTATATTGTTGACTTGACTGACATAATATGACACCACTGAATAACCTACCTGTATCATGATATCATAGGCTCTGGCTACATAATAGACTGGATGGCTACTCCAGTCAGTGGTTGTGTAGGTTCTGAATACTACTGGTCTGTAGATAATTGTCTTTAAGGAAAAGCAGGCGCCAGCTAGCATCATTATAGCAAGTGTAGATCTATTCCCACGTTGTACTTAGAGGTTGTCAGGATGTTACTTATTACTCCGACACAGGACGCCTCCATCTGGTGCTCATGGATTGCCCAGTATTTCAGTGTGTGTGTCCCAAATGGCACCCTATTTCCTTAAGTAGTGCCCTATGGGCCCTGTTTAAAAGTAGTGTGCTACATAGGGAAAAGGGTGCCATTTGGGACACACATCCACCAGTATTTCAGTGTTTGGTTAAAGTAGAAAAAGAACTGTGGCTTCCTCTCAGGCGCCAGTCTGACTGTCCAGTTCCCTGTCTGTCCTTTAGCCTGGCTTCTCTCTAAATATGACCCTCTTTTCTCTTCCCAGTCTATTACAGGTGTTTAAACAGGACCCCATGTTCACCTCCACTGACTGGCTGGATTTCCTCTTGACTTAAGTTTATATTTTTTCCTAAAAGGAGATACAAGTAGTTTTTATTTATCTACTTTTCTTTTTTTCTTTCAACAGAACAATGATATCTCACCAACAATGGAAACACAAGGACAGACTAACTAACTGAAAAGATAGTATTGAAACGAGATATCTTTCGACGAGAGGATTCTGCTTTTTCCTGGGAAGGTGGCGCATGAAACACAGGAGAACTCTCTAAATGTTTGCTGTTTCTTTCGGACGGACTAATGGATACTCACTGTATATAAATGTTAAGACAAAAATCATGCCTGTATAGTATCAGATTTGTTGCAGAGAATATAATTATGTATTTTATTGTGCTGCATTTTTCAAAGGAATGTTGTAAATTGCACTTTTATACAATAATAAATTAGATTCCTTATATTGTACAATTATGTTAATATCCATATTACGTTTTATGAGGGATTATATTGGAACTTTGTAAGTGGTGTAAATATACACATTTCCAACAACAGTAACTGACAATTCTCAATCTTTGACATTGTCACTGTACTTTCTCTTACATCGAAGGATGGTGGAACTGCATTCCATGGAACTTGCTTTTAAATGTATCTGAAAGATTCAGACTATCATTAGGAAGACCACATAACATGGCTCAATGTATTGCAGTTACTAATTTTATCCAGTTATCCAGGATGGTGGGCTGGTGCCCATCTAGTCACTGGTGGTTCTCTGTAGTTCAGTTGGTAGAGGATGACGCTTTCAACGCCTGGAAAGTGGGTTCGAATCCCGGGACCACCCATACATAAATAACTTATGCACGGATGACTGTAAGTTGCTTTGGATAAAAGCGCATATTATATTTTTACATATTACAACGCTTACTACTATTTTTGCACGGGGGGAGCACGCCTCCTGCTGGTGTACGTTAAGAAGAAACTGCTATATGAAAATATGAGAATACATACTGGTTCATACTTATAATTTCCAACACACCTATGTCAAGCAGACCGTAGGGCTATGTGGGAACAAACAAGAGGTCAGACTGTATATGGCCAACATCCAGATTTTATTTTTCAGTCAGATTAATGTCTGACGGCACAATTTACTTATTTTCACCTAATTTCTTATTTTTTCCTCTATGGTTATCATCAGACTGGGTAAAAGACACCATACAACATCACAGTGCATGCTACACATAGGGAGCACTCTTTGACATTTGCACAGATGCATCGTACGGGTCATTAACTACGCATGCAACACTAATCTCTATTGTAGCCAGATTTGTGAATCCGATGCCATTAAATGACCAAATCTGCTTAAATCAAATGTATATTTAAATGGCATCGGATACACAAATTAGGCTATCTTTACTGGCCAGTACTAGTGTTATGGGAGGGGACAGGTCATGACAACATTTAATAAACCAAATATCTTTACAACCACTGTTCATTAAAAAGAAGCATACATACAGTCCCATTTTTCACATGGCGAATGCAACTTCATTTTTCTGGAGATCAATAACTTTTCTGAACATAGTTCTCGTTCTAAAACATTTCTTAAAACGCTATTATTGTCACATATTAGTGTCAACGTCCCTCCCTTTTATCCTCAAATGTTTGTTAGTGTTGTAAGGAGGGCCCATACGACTGGTCAAAAGTAGTGCACTTTATCGGGAACAGGGTGCCATTTGGGACGCACCCATAATTAAAAGCCCAGTGGCTATAGCAACAATGCAGAACAGTTCAGTTGACTCTCCTCCATGACATTTGCTGAGACACGGCAAAGACAAATCTTACACACACTTTTGTTCAATTGGCTCACGTGTTCATTTGCATTCACTCTTCATCTATCTTCTATCGTACAGAACCCACAAGCTCAATACATCACTAGTTGACACACATAGGCAGCAGCTGCTAAGAATAATACTGTTGGCACATGCTCCTAGACTGGTCCCGGATATGTTTGTGCTCTTGCCAACTCCATTGCTCATTGTCAAACCCTTGGCATGACAATGAGTGACAATAAGTTGGTCTGATAGCACAAACAGACTGGCACTCAAGCTTACATGCTTGCTCTAGTGCAGCACAATTCACAGATAGTTGTCCGTCACTGTATGTAATTAGTTGTCAATTCTACTGTACGTAGCTAGCTACCAAGATAGTTAGTAGGGGTCACTTCACTTCAGATCATAAAAATACACAGTACAACATCAGTGAGCTGCCTCTACAGTACATAGCAGCCTTGTGAAACCAGACCGACCGTTGCGCTCTCGTTTTGTTTCGCTAAAGTAAAACAGAATGTGAGCATGCGAGATCAGGCCGGTTTAACGAGGCTATCTACGTAGTACACACCTAGGAACATCTAGCACTAACGTCTTCATCTATCTACCCATTTAGCTAGCTACGGTACCTTGCTACTCATGCGTTGCCAGACTACCACACTAAAGATCTACTGACTGAGTGCTCTCCAGGGGTCTCCCTACTGGGTACGTCGTGGGCGGGGAGGCTCACAGGATGCTCTCGCGCTCCTCTCCAAAGGTGACGGTGTCGGAGGACACGGTGGTGATCTCTGGGGGATCCCCGAGGTTCAGCCCCCGCTTCAGGTGCACCACACGCACGTTCTCGTTGTGCGGCCCGGGCTTGGTGGTGCCGGAACCCGGGGAGACGATGACCTCGCTGGTGGAGGAGGAGGTAGGGGTGGAGCAGGTAGTGTCAGTGGACTCCACCAGAGCACTCTGCCCTGGGCAACGCTGCTGCTGGTTCCCCTGCTGCTGGGTGTTGGTGTTGTTGTTGAGGGTGGTGTTGCTGGGCATGCGGTTGAGGTTGTAGCTCTTGGACGAGGGCCAGCTCTCTTCGGGGCTGCTGGCCAGCAGGCTGCACTGGTCCTCGGAGCAGATGGACATGCGGGCCACGGCCGGGTCCTGGAGACCACTCAGGCTGCTGGGCAGACCCCTCTTCCTGGCTGCCAGGCTCTGGGTCTCCTCCTGGTCCAGGTCAATCAGGTTGGCCCTCTCCAGCTGGGAAAGGTCGGCCTCCTCATCCTGCAGGGAGTGGTTGGGGGAGCTCTCATTGGAGCGCATGCCAGAGTCCGACGAATCCTTCTTATCCAGCATGGCATCGGAGAGATATTCTTTCCCCTTAGCCAGGGCCAGGGAGCTGCTGCAGGAGGATGCTTTGGTTTCACCAGGCTTCTTCCCGTCGCCCAGGAGAGGAGTGTCGGAGTTCTCTGAATCCTCGTCGTCGCTGGTCAGCTTCTGGTAGCGCAGCCCGCCGGCGGCCTTCATCTTGAGGTCGGCGGCTCCCTGAAACAGGCCGCTCCCCCTGTCGCTGGACCCGGAGGCCTTGCGGCCCAGCAGGGTTTTGGAGGAGCCATGGGGGTCCTGCTTCTCATCTTCCTCTGTGATGGGGTCCAGGGGGGCTTCGGCGGTGGTGAAGTCTGGGGCGTCTACAGCGGGGGGCTTGGTGGTGCTCCTCTTGGCGGTAGCCTTGTCCTTGGTCTTGTCCTCGGAGCTGGAGGATGTCATGAACTGGTTGGGGTGTGGCTGGATGGGCTTCTCTCCCCCGCCTCCTCCCACCTCCAGTGTGGCCATCTGGGCGATGTACTCCTGGTAGGCGTTGCGGTACTCGGATTGCTGCTTTTCCGTCAGCTTGACGATGTCGTTGGACGACTCCTGGGAGTTGAGGCTGGACATGCTGGGGGTACGGTGGGTCGGGGCCTGGGGAGAGGGGAGGACATGGAACATTACATTTAATAGAGTAAGACATTGAAAGACTGAGGAGGGCCTAGATCTGTGGTCTAAGTATACTGTACATGAAGGCAAATGTGCTATAATTTGGTTTACATACAGGTCAATGGCTTAAATCATGGTTCTGTACATATACATATACAGTTGAAGTCGGAAGTTTACATACACCTTAGCCAAATATATTTAAACTCAGTTTTTCACAATTCCTGACATTTAATCCTAGTAAAAATTCCCTGTCTTAGGTCAGTTAGGATCACCACTTTTTTTTAAGAATTTGAAATGTCAGAATAATAGTAGAGAGAATGATTTATTTCAGCTTTTATTTCTTTCATCACATTCCCAGTGGGTCAGAAGTTTACATACACTCAATTAGTATTTGGTAGCATTGCCTTTAAATTGTTTAACTTGGGTCAAACGTTTCTGGTAGCCTTCCACAAGCTTCCCACAATACGTTGGGTGAATTTTGGCCCATTCCTCCCATTCCTCCATTCCTCTTGACAGAGCTGGTGTAACTGAGTCAGTTTTGTAGGCCTCCTTGCTCGCACACGCCTTTTCAGTTCTGCCCACACATTTTCTATAGGATTGAGGTCAGGGCTTTGTGATGGCCACTCCAATACCTTGACTTTGTTGTCCTTAAGCCATTTTGCCACAACTTTGGGTTCATTGTCCATTTGGAAGACCCATTTGCGACCTAGCTTTGACTTCCTGACTGATGTCTTGAGATTTTGCTTCAATATATCCACATAATTTTCCTTCATCATGATGCCATCTATTTTGTGAAGTGCACCAGTCCCTCCTGCAGCAAAGCACCCCCACAGCATGATGCTGCCACCCCCGTGTTTCACGGTTGGGATGGTGTTCTTCGGCTTGTAAGCCAACCCCTTTTTCCTCCAAACATAACGATGGTCATTATGGCCGAACAGTTCTATTTTTGTTTCATCAGACCAGAGGACATTTCTCCAAAAAGTATGATCTTTGTCCCCATGTGCAGTTGCAAACCGTAGTCTGGCTTTTTTATGGCGGTTTTGGAGCAGTGGCTTCTTCCTTGCTGAGCGGCCTTTCAGGTTATGTCGATATAGGACTTGTTTTACTGTGGATATAGATACTTTTGTACCTGTTTCCTCCAGCATCTTCACAAGGTAATTTGCTGTTGTTCTGGGATTGATTTGCACTTTTGCACCAAAGTACGTTCATCTCTAGGAGACAGAACGCGTCTCCTTCCTGAGCGGTATGACGGCTGCGTGGTTCCATGGTGTTTATACTTGCGTACTATTGTTTGTACAGATGAACGTGGTACCTTCAGGCGTTTGGAAATTGCTCCCAAGGATGAACCAGACATGTGGAGGTCTATAATTTCTTTTCTGAGGTCTTGGCTGATTTCTTTTGATTTTCCCATGATGTCAAGCAAAGAGGCACTGAGTTTGAAGGTAGGCCTTGAAATACATCCACAGGTACACCTCCAATTGACTCAAATTATGTCAATTAGCTTATCAGAAGCTTCTAAAGCCATGATATCATTTTCTGGAATTTTCCAAGCTGTTTAAAGGCACAATCAATTTAGTGTATGTAAACTTCTGACCCACTGGAATTGTGATACAGTGAATTATAAGTGAAATAATCTGTCTGTAAACAATTGTTGGAAAAATTACTTGTGTCATGCACAAAGTAGATGTCCTAACCGACTTGCCAAAACTATAGTTTGTTAACAAGAAATTTGTGGAGTGGTTGAAAAACGAGTTTTAATGACTCCAACCTAAGTGTATGTAAACTTCCGACTTTCAACTGTAGCTATTCAATTCCAGTCTTTCTGTCAACGTAATATAATGATGGAATATAGACCTCTCTACAATGGAAAATACCACCAGTCACTCACCATCCATGTGTTGTTGCTGTGCCTGGGAGGCTCATCCAGTCCCACGTTGCTTAGCTCCTCAAAGCTCAGGTTGAAGCTGTACATGGGTGAGTTGGCGTCGAGGCTGGCGGCGCCAGCGTGGGGCGGGGCGACCTGGCGCCTCGGTTCCCCATGGCCCGCCACACTGCTGCCCACTTCGCTGGGAGCCTCCTCATGAAGCCCATGGCTCTCCACGTGACGCATCTCCAACACCTAGAAGAAGAAGAAGAAGATGAGACAACTGTCCAATCAAAAACACATATTTTGACCAATGGGTCAAATTAATTGTGTAGATAATCCTTTAAGAAAACCAATGGTACCAAACCTCATGTCTCTATCGTAATCCGTTCAAAAGTTATTGGAGTTTTTACCCTTGTAGGATGGCCAGAGAATAAAAGTGGTCAAGGATCTGGAAAAATGCATCACGTTAGCTAGGCTGGATTCTGTGCAAGAATTAAGGCTACTGGCTACCTGACAGGCTCACTTTCCCATTGAACTCATTATCTTTTTTTCTCGACTCGCAGGACATTAAACAATATAGAGGTAAGATGGATTTGATTTTGAGACATGACATGTACTATTTTTATATTTTAGTATATGCTTTTCATACGTAAATTGAAATTCCTGTTCTTTTTCAAATATTTCTCACAAAAACAAGCGTATCTCTGTGAAATGTCAATGGAGCAGGATCTTAATTTTATCTCTCTTCTGTTGCTGAGAATTTTCCTGCAGCCGTAAATGCAAACTTGTACTGTATTCGAGGTTTAAAAAGGCTTCTAAAGTTTGTAATTTCCACTTTAAAAATGTCAGACTTGATTTGCCCTAATGTATTAACCCCAACAAAAAATATTCAATTAATTATAATCCACATAATAATTCAAATTTCCTGTTGCTGCAGGATTATGTTCCTGCTGTAGCAAACTGGCTCAAATTAAGATCCTACATCAAGCTTTTTATTTTCAAACCCTTTTACATTTAATTCAGCTCGTGTCATGCTAATTTTGCGTTTTGCGACCCGCGGAAACAACTTTGAAGACGACGACCACAACATTTACAAAAGTTGTTACGAGAAACATGCACCGCTATGCTTATTATAGGATGTATTAGGTACGAAATCTGACTTTTTGGATATAATGTTAATGATATGTTAAAGAAAGACCCCACTGAACGATTCAGAACATGAATAATAATATTTGTCTTAGTAAAATGTATTTTATAACATAAGGAAGTGAAATTTCATCACAAAATAACATTTTGGGCAGAGTGGGTAGACACCCTACCGAGTTAAGACCCATACTGTAACAGCAGTGTCCACTGTTAAAGCTGATGGTAAATACACTACACAATAAAAAGAAACAGGTAAGAGCAAAGTTAGGGCCAAAGTACTTACCGTTCCTCTGAAGAGCTGCCAATCTCCAAAGTTCATTTTCATCTCATTCTTCAGTTCATCGATGTTGCACTGGGTCAGAACTCTGCCGTTCACATTAGCCTGAGAGAGAGATGCAATGGAGAGATGGTTAATGGGGGGATGTCAGAAACACACTCTCTCGCTCTCTCTCTCTCTAAAGCTCACCTTCTTGATGGTGGCGGTGTACTGGGCCAGCATGCTCTGGTCGATGCCCTCGATCTGTTTGACGCGCTCACACACTGCGTCTGTGTTCATGGAGCTCAGGAGGATGACCGGGGTGCCCGACACCACAGAGGCAGAACCCTGACACACACACAATACACACAACCAGGCCCAGAACACACCGTTAATGACAGGATACAGCTGAAAGACAAAACCTGGGTTAATAGCTATTTGATGGACGTCAGAAATCCGAATACATTTTCTCCCTTTTCAAGTTATCATGTATTTCACTATATTGTAGTACGCTCTGCCAGTCTGAGTAAAAATGGAATAACATAGAATTAAATAAAACAGAGTTCCATGCCGAAACACCGTTCAAACCTGCAAAGGTAAAGGCACAGTATAGGGGAAAGCAACATGAAGAGAACATAGGTTACATAAACCCTCAGTAGGTACAGTATGAGAGAAATATAATATGATCTTATCTATAATGGGTTGTTGATGAGAGTGGCGCTATCCTAGGGTGAGTACAGTATGGCAATGGGATGTAGACCACCGGTTAAGAGGTTGTCACGGCATTAGGCCCAGACCAAACGTTGTCAGTGAGTGTATTAGAGAACACTGTATGGTAAAACACCTTGGATGTAATCTGTGAGGAGGAAATTACATCGCTTCCTGTTATCTCTAATGTATTACTACTACTAGGCTACTCACTAACACAAGAGTTAGATCATAGAAATAGAATCACTATAACGGATATCCCCTCAGACCATTGAATTGACTTGAATGAGGATGTCCGTTCTAGTGATTATATTTCTATGAGTTAGATATGACACCACACACCTCACCTCAGATGAATGGAGAAAATATTACTGGTAAGTGATACACATCTAGTGCTAGATAGCTTTGATGCTAGTATGGATAAAATGCACACAGCAATACATGGTGCATGATTATTATTTATTCAAACAGGTTAGTTTCAGGTCTTTACGAAACCACAGGAAACGGCACTGACTCTGAGTAGAAGGGCTGTCTTCATAGGACATGTCCATTTTGATGAGGTGGGAGAGGTGGGAGTGTGTGAGGGTTTGTGGTAAGGAGAGGAGTTTAGCTAGAAGAGCCAGACAAAAGCAAATGTTTGAAATGCTTATAGAGACTGTACAAATGACTAAATCAAACGTGTTACAAATCTACAATGTATCTTACAAGGTTACAAAACGTGTAATTGTAAATAGGTCTTCAGCAGTATTGCAATATTAAAGACAGAGGCACTATGAGCAGATCAAAGATTTCACTAGTCAGCGGCCTTGTAGTGTTCAGTATCTACAGTGCCTTGCAAAAGTATTCATCCCCCTTGGCATTTTTCCTATTTTGTTACATTACAACCTGTAATTTAAATGGATTTTTATTTGGATTCCATGTAATGGACATACACAAAATAGTCCAAATTGGTGAAGTGAAATGAAAAAAATAACTTATTTCAAAAAATGCAATAATAAATAAATAACGTAAAAGTGGTGCGTGCATATGTATTCACCCCCTTTGCTATGAAGCCCCTAAATAAGATCTGGTGCAACCAATTACCTTCAGAAGTCATATAATTAGTTAAATAAAGTCCACCTGTGTGCAATCTAAGTGTCACATGATCTGTCACATGGTCTAGTATATATACACCTGTTCTGAAAGGCCCCAGAGTCTGCAACACCACTAAGCAAGGGGCACCCCTAAGCAAGCGGCACCATGAAGACCAAGGAGCTCTCCAAACAGGTCAGGGACAAAGTTGTGGAGAAGTACAGATCAGGGTTGGGTTATAAAAACATATCAGAAACTTTGAACATCCCACGGAGCACCATTAAATCCATTATAAAAAAAACTGAAAGAATATGGCACCACAACAAACCTGCCAAGAGAGGGCCGCCCACCAAAACTCACGGACCAGGCAAGGAGGGCATTAAACAGAGAGGCAACAAAGAGACCAAAGATAACCCTGAAGGAGCTGCAAAGCTCCACAGCGGAGATTGGAGTATCTGTCCATAGGACCACTTTAAGCCGTACACTCCACAGAACTGGGCTTTACGGAAGAGTGGCCAGAAAAAAGCCATTGCTTAAAGAAAAAAATAAGCAAACACGTTTGGTGTTCGCCATGTGGGAGACTCCCCAAACATATGGAAGAAGGTACTCTGGTCAGATGAGACTAAAATTGAGCTTTTTGGCCATCAAGGAAAACGCTATGTCTGGCGCAAACCCAACACCTCTCATCACCCCGAGAACACCATCCCCACTGTGAAGCATGGTGGTGGCAGCATCATGCTGTGGGGATGTTTTTCATCGGCAGGGACTGGGAAACTGGTCAGAATTGAAGGAATAATGGATGGCGCTAAATACAGGGAAATTCTTGAGGGAAACCTGTTTCAGTCTTCCAGAGATTTGAGACTGGGATGGAGGTTCACCTTCCAGCAGGACAATGACCCTAAGCATACTGCTAAAGCAACACTCGAGTGGTTTAAAGAGAAACATTTAAATGTCTTGGAATGGCCTAGTCAAAGCCCAGACCTCAATCCAATTGAGAATCTGTGGTATGACTTAAAGATTGCTGTACACCAGCGGAACCCATCCAACTTGAAGGAGCTGGAGCAGTTTTGCCTTGAAGAATGGGCAAAAATCCCAGTGGCTAGATGTGCCAAGCTTATAGAGACATACCCCAAGAGACTTGCAGCTGTAATTGCTGCAAAAGGTGGCTCTACAAAGTATTTACTTTGAGGGGGTGAATAGTTATGCACGCTCAAGTTCTGTTTTTTTGTCTTATTTCTTGTTTGTTTCACAATAAAAAATATTTTGCATCTCAAAGCGGTAGGCATGTTGTGTAAATCAAATGATACAAACCCCCCCAAAATCTAATTTAATTCCAGGTTGTAAGGCAACAAAATAGGAAAAAAACGCCAAGGGGGGTGAATACTTTCGCAAGCCACTGTATGTGCTTGTGATAATACTTAATCTGTAATTTAATGTACATCAGTTAGTATCCTAACAAGGGAGCTAGAGCGTCGCAAAAACAGTTGGTTTTTAGCTGCTACACTGGAAGTGTAGCTTTTGCAGGCGTGAGAAGAACGCGAGACACTTTATCAAGTGTTCTTGGGAGTGAGCGGCAGGTCAAATTCTTGAAAGTAGAACCAGAGCGTAATTTTACGCCGAAGCAACACAAGCTTCTCGCAGAGCCGCGCCGCTTACACCCAGGTTTCATTGACATGAATGGGAGCGTCTCGCGCTCTGCAAACGTTACTCGTCCAGTGTAGCACGCCTGTAACTCCCGGTTCCCATTTGAGAGAGTGGGCTAGAGTTCCAAAGGTGCATGCTAGGATAAGTGGTCAGGGGTCAGATCACTTCCGAAAGGGGTTAGTTTGTCGGTCTAGGGAGTAGGAGGGCAGCATTAGCGAAGGGAGTAAAAAGTCGGAGTTAGGGACAAAATCAGAGGGTTTCAGTACCTGCTTCTTTTTCAAAGACGGTACCTTAAACTGCTTGGAGAGGAAGAGAGAGAATGAGAGGTGGAAAGAGACAGAGGGAAAGGTGAGGAGGGAGTGGCATACAGCAGGTCTTCATCAGGGAGGGATGTGGGGAGAGAACATTAGGAAGACATACAGATGACAACATCATCGTTGTAGAGGAGAAAAAACATTAGAGAGTCAGACATATCTTCAAGACAGGAAATAGAGAGAGAGAGTGAATGAGAGAGAGAAAGAAAGACATAAAAAATAAAAAATAAAAAAAATAAAGAGAGTGGAGCGAGAAAGTGGAGAGAGATAGAAAGACAAAGAAAGATAGTGGAGAAAGTGGAGAGAGAGAGAGAGGGGGCATGCCTTCATCGTGAGGATGAGAAAAATGTGTTTGATATCTGAAAATGTGTTTGATACAGTGGGGAAAAAAAGTATTTAGTCAGCCACCAATTGTGCAAGTTCTCCCATTTAAAAAGATGAGAGAGGCCTGTAATTTTCATCATAGGTACACGTCAACTATGACAGACAAAATGAGAAAAAAAAATCCAGAAAATCACATTGTAGGATTTTTTATGAATTTATTTGCAAATTATGGTGGAAAATAAGTATTTGGTCAATAACAAAAGTTTCTCAATACTTTGTTATATACCCTTTGTTGGCAATGACACAGGTCAAACATTTTCTGTAAGTCTTCACAAGGTTTTCACACACTGTTGCTGGTATTTTGGCCCATTCCTCCATGCAGATCTCCTCTAGAGCAGTGATGTTTTGGGGCTGTCGCTGGGCAACACGGACTTTCAACTCCCTCCAAAGATGTTCTATGGGGTTGAGATCTGGAGACTGGCTAGGCCACTCCAGGACCTTGAAATGCTTCTTACGAAGCCACTCCTTCGTTGACCGGGCGGTTTGTTTGGGATCATTGTCATGCTGAAAGACCCAGCCACGTTTCATCTTCAATGCCCTTGCTGATGGAAGGAGGTTTTCACTCAAAATCTCACGATACATGGTCCCATTCATTCTTTCCTTTACACGGATCAGTCGTCCTGGTCCCTTTGCAGAAAAACAGCCCCAAAGCATGATGTTTACACCCCCATGCTTCACAGTAGGTATGGTGTTCTTTGGATGCAACTCAGCATTCTTTGTCCTCCAAACACGACGAGTTGAGTTTTTACCAAAAAGTTTCATCTGACCATATGACATTCTCCCAATCCTCTTCTGGATCATCCAAATGCACTCTAGCAAACTTCAGACGGGCCTGGACATGTACTGGCTTAAGCAGGGGGACACGTCTCGCACTGCAGGATTTGAGTCCCTGGCGGCGTAGTGTGTTACTGATGGTAGGCTTTGTTACTTTGGTCCCAGCTCTCTGCAGGTCATTCACTAGGTCCCCCGTGTGGTTCTGGGATTTTTGCTCACCGTTCTTGTGATCATTTTGACCCCACGGGGTGAGATCTTGCGTGGAGCCCCAGATCGAGGGAGATTATCAGTGGTCTTTTATGTCTTCCATTTCCTAATAATTGCTCCCACAGTTGATTTCTTCAAACCAAGCTGCTTACCTATTGCAGATTCAGTCTTCCCAGCCTGGTGCAGGTCTACAATTTTGTTTCTGGTGTCCTTTGACAGCTCTTTGGTCTTGGCCATAGTGGAGTTTGGAGTGTGACTGTTTGAGGTTGTGGACAGGTGTCTTTTATACTGATAACAAGTTCAAACAGGTGCCATTAATACAGGTAACGAGTGGAGGACAGAGGAGCCTCTTAAAGAAGAAGTTACAGGTCTGTGAGAGCCAGAAATCTTGCTTGTTTGTAGGTGACCAAATACTTATTTTCCACCATAATTTGCAAATAAATTCATTAAAAATCCTACAATGTGATTTTCTGGATTTTTTTTCCTCAATTTGTCTGTCATAGTTGACATGTACCTATGATGAAAATTACAGGCCTCTCTCATCTTTTTAAGTGGGAGAACTTGCACAAATGGTGGCTGACTAAATACTTTTTTCCCCCACTGTATCTGCAGGGTTCAGTGGTTTTTAGGACAGTTTGATGCTGAGTTAGCAGGGTCATTGTGTTTCGGGGGGGGGGGTGTATGATGAAGAAAGAGAGCAGAAGGCAGCATGTTTTTGTAATAGAGGGAGGGATGTGTTTCTTGTGAAATGAACTTCTCTGTTAGAATCTACTAGCACTGACTTTGTTCATAACTTCCTTATTGAGGAAAAATTTACTTACTACGACTGTGATATGTTGTCGTCTCACCTAGCTATCTTAAGATGAATGCACTAACTGTAAGTCGCTCTGGATAAGAGCGTCTGCTAAATGACTAAAATGTGAAATTTAGAATCCGATCAGAATGTTCTGATGTTTAAACACTCTGAATCAGAAAGGTTCAAACAAGCATGTAGAAGCTAATTAAATTGACTTGGTTATACATCCAGAGATGCCATTCTAGGTGCACTACTTCTATCTATGCACTACGACGTACTGGCTAGGTCTAATACTTACGTGTCCACTGCTCGGATCCCGGGGAAAGCCACATTTAAGTGGGAATGGACGTGGTGGAGGTGCATGAACAGGGAAACTGCCCACGTACTGGCGTGGCAGCTGGTAAACATGATGGGGGAAATATGGCTGGAGGGACAGCAATACCAGGGAGAAAGAAAACACGTTTAACATGGGGTAAAATAAAATAAAAACAACACTTATATATAAAACCAATGTAACAAAGAGGTGTCTGATGATGAGCTATTATGAGATACAGACTGAGGCAAATAGAATGATGACAGGCAAATTCAATACATTCACAGCAAGTAAAATACACTGTATGTATGGATTCAGAAAGTATTCAGACCCCTTGACTATTTCCAAATTTTGTTACGTTACAGCCTTATTCTAAAATTGATTAAATAAAAATAAATCCTCATAAATCTACACACAATACCCCATAATGACAAATCGAAAACAGGTTTTTACCTTATTTAAATAAGTATTCAGACCCTTTGCTATGAGACTCGAAATTGAGCTCAGGTGCATCCTATTTCCATTGAGATGTTTCTACAACTTGATTGGAGTCCACCTGTGGTAAATTCAATTGATCGGACATGATTTGGAATGGCACACACCTGTCTTTATAAGGTTGACAGTGCATGTCAGAGCAAAAACCAAGCCATGACGTCGAAGGAATTGTCCGTAGAACTCCGAGACAGCATTGAAGGTCCCCAAGAACACAGTGGCCTCCATCATTCTTAAATGGAAGAAGTTTGGAACCACCAAGACTCTTCCTACAGCTGGCCACCCGGCCAAACTGAGCAATCGGGGGAGAAGGACCTTGGACAGGGAGGTGACCAAGAACCCGATGGTCACTCTGACAGAGCTTCAGAGTTCCTCTGTGGAGATGGGAAAACCCTCCAGCCAGAGCCCAGACTTGAAACCGATCGAACATCTCTGGAAAGACCTGAAAATAGCTGTGCAGCGACGCTCCCCATCCAACCTGACAGAGCTTGAGAGGATCTGCCGAGAAGAATGGGAGAAGCTCCCCAAATACAGGTGTGCCATGCTTGTAGCGTCATACCCAAGAAGACTCGAGGCTGTAATCGCTGCCATAGGTGCTTCAACAAAGTACTGAGTAAAGGGTCTGAATACTTATGTAAATGTAATATTTCTTTTTTCTTTTTGCAATACATTTGCAAAAAAAATTATAACTGTTTGTCATTATGGGGTATTGTGTGTAGATGATGAGGGGAAAAAAGCAATTTAATCAATTTTAGAATAAGGCTGTAACGTAAAATATTTGGAAAAAGTCAAGGGGTCTGACTACTTTCCAAATGCATTGTATGTATGCATGTAGTGCCTTCAGAAAGTATTCACACCCCTTGACCTTTTCTACATTTTGTTGTTTTACAACCTGCATTTTGGGCCTACACACAATACCCCACAATGTCAAAGTTGAATTATGTTTTTAATATTTTTTTCAAATTAATAACTAAATCAAAAGCTGAAATGTCTAGAGTCAAAAAGTATTCAACCCCTTTGTTATGGCAAGCCTAAATAAGTTCAGGAGTAAAAATGTCTTAACAAGTCACATGCAATAATTTTTTTATGACTACCACATTTCTGTACCCCACACATACAAATGATATGTAAGGTCCCTCAGTTGAGCAGTGAATTTCAAACACAGGTTCAACCTCAAAGACCAGGGAGGTTTTCCAATACCTCGCAAGGAAGGGCACCTATTGGTAGATGGGTAAAAATTTAAAAGCAGACATTGAATATCCCTATGAGCATGGTGAAGTTATTAATTACACTTTGGATGTTGTATCAATACACCCAGTCACTACAAAGATACAGGCGTCCTTTCGAACTCAGTTGCCAGAGAGAAAGGAAACCACTCTGGGAATTCACCATGAGGCCAATGTGTTTAATGGCTGTGATTGGAGAAAACTGAGGATGGATCAACATCATTGTAGTTAATCCACAATACTAACCTAATTGACAAGAGTGAAAATAAGTAAGCCTGTACAGAATAAAACTATTCCAAAACATGCATCCTGTTTGCATTAAGGCACTAAAGTAAAACTGCAAGAAATGTAGTAAAATTAACTTTATGTCCTGAATACAAAGCTTTATGTTTGGGGTAATCCAACACAACACATAACTGAGTACCACTCTTTTCAAGCACGGTGGTGGCTGCATGTTACGGGTATGCTTGTCATCAGCAAGGACTAGGGAGTTTTTTTTAGGATAAATAGAAACGGAATAGAGCTAAGCACAGGCAAAATCATATAGGAAACCTGGTTCAGTCTGCTTTCCAACAGACACTGGGAGACAAATTCACCATTCAACAGGACAAACCTAAAACACAAGACCAAATATATATTCCTGGCCTAGTTACAGTTTGGACTTAAATCGGCTCTGAAATCTATGGCAAGACTTGAAAATGGCTGTCTAGCAATGCTCAACGACCAACTAGACAGAGCTTGAAGAATTGTAAAAAATAATAACGTGCTAATATGGTACAATCCAGGTGTGCAAAGCTCTTAGACTTACCCAGAAAGACTCACAGCTGTAATCGCTGCCAAAGGTGATTCTAACATGTATTGACTCAGGGGTATTTCTGTATTTCATTTTCAATATATTTGTAAACATTTCTAAAAACCTGTTTTCACTTTGTCATTATGGGGTATTGTGTGTAGATGGGTGAGGGGAAAAATGGAAGGGGTATGAATACTTTCTGAAGACACTGTACGTATGGACACACAAGAGATCCCATACAGTACAAACACCTCATCATGTTACATTACAGAGCCTTGAACTTAAATGGGATAACTGAAACATTACAAAACTATAAATAACAAGAGCTCTGCAAATGATATACCAAAAGTGTACCACAATGTGAAAAGGGGGACGATAACATAAAAATGATTGGAAGGTTGGTGGGAAAATCACGAGTCCTCTTAATTTACAGCATTTCCCTCACTCAGACAACAAAACATTTGCAAAAGTTGCCCAATTGGGGGCAACTTCTTATCAGGTGCGGTGCTCATGTTCAGAACGGCTGTCAGTCAAATATAGGCTGTAACATGTACAGCCACTGCGTTCCAATTTAGGCGCTTATCTAGGGCCCTATAAATTCCGTGATGCAGAGAATGCGGACAGAATAATGTTCAACATCAACACCATTATCCCAGAAACCCTAGACCCACTCCAATTTGCATACCGCCCCAACAGATCCACAGATGATGCAATCTCTATTGCACTCCACACTGCCTTTCCCACCTGGACAAGAGGAACACCTACGTGAGAATGTTATTCATTGACTACAGCTCAGCATTCAACACCATAGTACCCTCAAAGCTCATCACTAAGCTAAGGATCCTGGGACTAAACACCTCCCTCTGCAACTGGATCCTGGACTTCCTGACGGGCCGCCCCCAGGTGGTAAGGGTAGGTAACAACACATCTGCCAAACTGATCCTCAACATGGGGGCCCCTCAGGGGTGCGTGCTCAGTCCCCTCCTGTACTCCCTGTTCACCCATGACTGCATGGCCAGGCACGACTCCAACACCATCATTAAGTTTGCCGACGACACAACAGTGGTAGGCCTGATCACCGACAACGATGAGACAACCTATAGGGAGGAGGTCAGAGACCTGGCCGTGTGGTGCCAGGATAACAACCTCTCCCTCAACGTGACCAAGACAAAGGAGATGATTGTGGACTACAGGAAAAAAAAGAGGACTGAGCACGCCCCCATTCTCATCGACAGTGCTGTAGTGGAACAGGTTGAGAGCTTCAAGTTCCTTGGTGTCCACATCACCAACGAACTATCATGGTCCAAACACACCAAGACAGTCGTGAAGAGGGCACGACAAAGCCTATTCCCCCTCAGGAGACTGAAAAGATTTGGCATGGGTCCTCAGATCCTCGAAAAATTATACAGCTGCACCATCGAGAGCATCCTGACTGGTTGCATCAACGCCTGGCATGGCAACTGCTCGGCCTCCGACCGCAAGGCACTACAGAGGGTAGTGCGTACGGCCCAGTACATCACTGGGGCCAAGCTTCCTGCCATCCAGGACCTCTATACCAGGCCGTGTCAGAGGAAGGCCCTCACAATTGTCAAAGACTCCAGCCACCCTAGTCATTGACTGTTCTCTCTGCTACCGCACGGCAAGCGGTACCGGAGTGCCAAATCTAGATCCAAAAGACTTCTCAACAGCTTCTACCCCGAAGCCATAAGAATCCTGAACAGCTAATCATGGCTACCCGGACTATTTGCACTGCCCCCCCACCCCCACCCCACACCCCATCTTTTTACGCTGCTGCTACTCTGTTAATTATTTATGCATAGTCACTCTACCCACATGTACATATTACTTAAACTACCTCAACTCCCGCACATTGACTCTGCACCGGTACCCCCCTGTATATATAGCCTCCCTACTGTTGTTGTTTTATTTTACTTTTGTATAAAATATGCACTGTTGGTTAAGGGCTGTAAGTAAGCATTTCACTGTAATGTCTACACCGGTTGTATTCGGCGCATGTGGCCAATATTTTTTTTTGATTTGATTTGATTTGATCCAGACATTAAAATGAATTCAACAATATTCAAAATTGTATTGTAGGGAACAAACTAAATGTATTGAAAATGAATTAATTTGACCAGGTTTATCATAAGACATGAACAGAATGCATCAGTGATTCGTATTTCCTGCAACTCTCTGAAGAGGCAACAAGAATTCCCTGTTTGTGTGGTGCGCACATCTACCACTTTGTGTAGCCTATAGCGATGATGCTAATGACAAGTCTTCTGGTAGATGGAAAGGCTTTCCCAAAAAACCTTCTCAATTAAATGTTAACTACAAAGTAGCCTTACATGGCAGAATGATATCATGATTATTTGCATCAATCCAGTGGGTATTTTCTTTGCAAACACTACCATCACATGTGCGCTACAAAAACACAGATAAACAGCCTCTTGCTAGGTGGCACTGGAATTAAAGGGAAACTACACCCAAAATTCTAGAATTTCTCCCAGACCTCAAAAGTGGTCTTCTGGTGTGGTTTAAGCATTTTTGTGGACTTAGAACATCCCTCCCAAAAAAGAGAGTGAAAAGCGTAATAAACAGGGGTAAACGGAAACCTGGAAAAACAAAACTGAGAAAATATTATTTTGGAATAACTAAACGGAATCAAGCAAAAAAACAGCTGATTTTATAGGGCCCTACTTATCAGTGCCCAAATCTGCCATTTTCAACCCATATATGGGTACGAGTGTAAAGGGCTACAGGACATTCTACTCCAAAATGCATGAAAGTTGAATTATGTTCTCTTCCTTTGAAACTCATCTGAAAATCAAGGACAGTTCAATTGTATCTCTTGATGTCAATGACATCACCAGCCAATTCTATATTAACCCCAAACATTATTTAGCTAGCGTAATGTTACTGCCTTTTAGCGTACACATACACGTAACTTCCAAAATAAAAGAAAAACCAACATAAAGTGTCTTAATAGGATGTTGGGCCCCCACGAGCGATTCTACAAGTGTCTGGAACTCTATCGGAAGGATTCGGAGGGACACCATTATTCCACATGAACTTTGGCAACGATTTAGCAGCAGCAGTTCGTTGCTGCTAAATGAATATAGGAGAAACACTGGACACGATATAGGCCTTGAGTCAGACGATCTACAAGTGAAGCTTTCTGTTTGGAACCAGGCCCTTCTCAGAGTCCAATATGGAAGAGACCATGATGTTGGCGACATGGGGGATGTTCTTTCCTATCCACTCACCCTGTTATAGAAGGGGTGCTGGGGGCCAGCCATGCCACTGTAGTAGCTGCTGTGTGGTGGTGGGGACACCACCCCTGGGGGGTTGAAGGGCCCGTTGAAGGAGGGGGAGCAGGCGGACATGCCTGACTGCTGGCTGTAGACGGAGGTGGGGCGGGGAGCGGCCTCCTGCAAGGGCAGGCTGGGATAGGTCACCGCTCCGATGCTCATCTGCTCCCTGGCAGCACGCACGTCTTGGGGGTGAGAAGAGGGAGACAGACAGGCAAAGATACATTTGTCATTAAAAGTAGTAAAAAAAAGTGATTTAACTGCTTCAGTCTCTTTCAGAAATACATCCAAAAGTCAACTGTTGTATTCAGGTTGCCTACATCATATCTACAAAACGTTTTGGACTGACTTGTGTAGAACTTAAATGATTTGACACACAGACACAGCTAGCTATGCTCCCCTTCACCTGCGGCATGCACGTCTGGGAGAGAGAGAGGGATGCAGACAGAAAAAAAACGGAGTTTCTGGAAAACTCAGATGTTGGAAAACAACTAACAAGTACGGTTGCAAAGTAGTTTTATTACTTATGAACAGGCACACATCTGAAATACCCTGAAAACAAACCTGATACAAACTATATAGTACCTCAATGACTTACTCACCTGCGATGATCTCTCGTAGTTTGGGGTCGAGGTTGACAGTGCAAGGTAGGAACGTTTTCATGTCGCGCGAGTTGAGGACCGGGGTACGGGAGGAGAGGAACACCTCGAAGCTACGCACATCCCCGTCAATCTCCAACAGGGGCTCCACATCTTTAGTGGTGGGAATGTTTTTAGAGATCCTAAAAACACCAGAGATAAACGTTGAAAAAGCCATTACAAACCCGTGTTGGTAAGATTGAAGTCATATGAAAACAGATGAGGAAAGAGCTATAGCTATTCTAGACTGAAAGGCTGCTTCTTTTGTTTGGCATAATTTTATGTAGCTTACCCACAAAATACTTAAGATACAAAAAGATAGAACATAAAATATATCTTTATCCCAGCAATATAGGTACGGGAAGGAGGTTACAATTCTGGCCTCCTGAGTGGTGCAGCGGTCTAAGGCACTGCATTGCAGTGCTTGAGGCGTCACTACAGACCCGGGTTCGATCCCAGGCTGTGTCACAACCGGCCGTGACCGGGAGTCCCATAGGGTGGCGCAAAATTGGCCCAGTGTCGTCTGGGTTACGGGAGGGTTTGGCCAAGGGGGCTTTACTTGGCTCATCGCGCTCTAGTGACTCCTTGTGGCGGGCGCCTGCAGGCTGACTTCAGTTGACCGGTGTATCCTCCGACACAGCTGGTTAAGGAGCGCGGTTTGGCGGGTCATGTTTCGGAGGACGCATGACCCGACCTTCGCCGAGCCCGTTGGGGAGTTGCAGCAATGAGACAAGATCGTAATTGGGAGAAAAAAGGGGGGTAAAATACAACAACAACAAAATATATATAACAATTCTGTGAGCTTTATTGATAAGACAGACATACAATAGTATTTGAAGTGACAATGAAGGACATTTGAATCATTCAGGGGAATGGAATATACATCATTATTTATTTTCAGGAACACCCTTTAAAAACATAAAAAACACTCAACGTAATTTTGCAGTGACTAAGCTTTTGTCTGACAAGTAATTGAAATTCAACTACAATAATCCAACCAATTGGACGCAATTCCAATGATGATTCAACCAATTAAACAAATCCTTATTGCACATTCAGACAGATCTTTCCAATTTAAATAAAACCCTCTCTCATGCAACTTAACAGCTCCTATGTTCTATAATGTTTCAAGAAGATCTTAGTTTTTTGGGAGTTTAGAGAGGGGGTTGGGGACATACAGTACACTACCTCTGGTAGATGGTCTTGAGGGTGGCCTAATGTTAGGTGGGTAGAGGGGGACTACAGTACACTACCTTTCCTAGATGGTTTTGGGTGTAGTTTTAAGGGGACTACATTACCTCTCATAGATGGTCTTGAGGGCGGCCTGGTCGGGGATGCCGTCGGTCTCCTCCAAGAACAGGATGAGCCAGGAGGTCCTGTAGGGCCACGTCTCAGTAAGGTTGATCCACGACGCCAGGCGGTCCCAGTTGAACGTGATCTGATTGGCCCTTAGCAGACGACCTGTATACAGACAGAACAGCATTGTGCCAGTCATCCTGGAGAAAACAAACAGTCTTTCCTCCACAATCCATTATTCATAATCATCTGTCCATTAATCATTTTCTAGATGGTCAATTGTGGTTTATGTAGTAAACCCAGTGACAAACATGGGGGTAGCTACTGAGTGTGTGTGTGTCTGCCTGCCTGCCTGACTCTGTGTGTGTTTGTGTTTGACTGTGCCTGCGTGTGTGACCCACCTGTGACAGAGACGATGTTGAGCAGCCTCCTCATGGTCTGGGGGCTGATGTCACTGAACCAGTCCTCTGTCACCAGCAGCTTGCTCAGGTCAAAGGACATCTGCCGCGTCCCTGTTCTCTGTATCTGCCTGCGCCGGTACGTGTCCTAAACACAGACAGAGAAACCATATATTCACTTTATATTCAAGGTCGACTTTGGGCACAAAAAAAGGTCAAATTCCGCTCCTTTCTCAATTTTCGAACAGAAATGGGGTGTGCCTTTGGTGGTTCATCGATGTGTCATTCTGGTAATGGGTGCCGCGACCGACGTAGCTAGTTAGTTAGCCAAGCTAGCCACTTTAGCTAGCCAGTAACTCCTTCAGTATGTGTTAACGTCATTTAACAGGATTTGTTTTTGGACGGAAGCTGTAGAGATCGGTAAGAAATGGCACTTCTGTAGCCAAATATCTTATTAATTAATTTAACTTTTGAGCATTAAATAACCTGGCATGATGGTGCATTGATCATCAATGGGATCTTTATTGGCCACAGAGATTCAGGACACCCGTTTAACATCCCATCCGAAAGACGGCACCCTACACAGGGCAATGTCCCCAATCACTGCCCTGGGGCATTGGGATCTTTTTTTCAGACCAAAGGAAAGAGTGCCTCCTACTAGCCCTCCAATACCACTTCCAGCAGAATCTGGTCTCCCATCCAGGAACTGACCAAGACAAACCCTGCTTAGCTTCAGAAGCAAGCCAGCAGTGGGATGCAGGGTGGTATGCTGCTGGAAATATTAACATATGTGAACCATATATTCAAATCCATAATTTTTTAAAAAGATTAATAAAGAAAAAAGTAACATGCTTCAAAGACAACAGGTGTAGACTAACAGTGAAATGCTTTTCCAACAATGCAGAGTTAAAGATAAGCTATATATATTTTTTAAATAGTGGCAAAGTGAATAACAAATAAAAATAATGAGTAAAAATAACATGGCTATATATAGGGAGTAGAAAATAACATGGCTATATACAGGGAGTACCAGTACCGAGTCGATGTGCAGGGGTACGGGGTAATTGAGGTAGCTATGTACTGTACATATAGGTAAGGGTAAATTGACTAGCAGCAGCGTATGTGTGAAAGTGTGTGGCGTCAGTATGCATATGTGTGCATGTTATGTGTGTGTGGGCGTATGTAGTGTGTGTGTGTGTGTGTGTGTGTGTGTGTGTGTGTGTGTGTGTGTGTGTATGTATGTGTGTGTATGTGTGTGTGTGTGTTGGGGAGTCAGTGTAAGTATGTGTGAGTGTGTGGGTAGAGTGCAGTGTGTGTGCATAGTGAGTGCAAGAGATATGGAAGAGATATATTAACATTATTTGAACGCATGTCACCCATATATTAACGTTATATTAACGTATGAAAGGAAACAGCAATCACATACGATTTGCTGTGTACACAGAAAACACAGTGGTAAACTGCCACATGTAATATAGCATGATATGGAAAAATATGGAAAAAGTTGACAAATTGGGTGTGAGATTTGGCTCGGCTCCTTGAGTACAGGGCACCTGGTTCTTATTATGATATGAGGGCCTTGGGGGTTAGGGTTAAGGTTAAGGTTAGGGTATTATTGGGATGGGTAAATTACAGCAGGAGTGTTCGCAGTAGCCGGGTGGAAGCAGCCTGATCGCTGTGTTCACCATTCTGTTTTACTGCACGTATACAGACAGCCGCAAACAGTTTCAACGAGGAGGAATGCCAGACTGATACGTGAAGTGAAATAGAATGGTGAACGCAGCGATCAGGCTGGTTCCACCAGGCTTGGTTCACAGAGCAACTCACACTAAACTGCACATGATGTGGCTTGGTGGGGGAGAAACGCAGTAGATCCAGCCTAATTGGATTGAAAGCACAGTAAGAGCACGAGCTGGACAGTCAGGAGCTCCTAGTACAGAGGTTGGCTTTGAAGTTATTCCCCACGCCCTATTTTTAGCTATGGGATTGTTACCGGCTGCGTCCCAAATGGCACCCTATTTCCATTATAGTGCACTACTTTTGAAGGGCACTATCAAGGGAATAGGATCAAAGCGCCTGCGTATTGACTGACTTTTTATGTGTAGTCGTGTGGTTATTATATTGATTTAATTATGACAGATCTGAAGGCCTTTGATGATACTATAGGTGACGGTGTTGACCCATATGCCTGTCCTCTTTGGGAAACCACCGGGTTGGGGTCAAGCACCAGGCCACACACCCACAAACACACACGGCAAGATGTGCACCGGCAGACACGGTCGCCCTTGCAGTTTGTTGTTTATTTTAGTGTTCTTTTTTACTTTATTTGCTCAGGATGTTTCTGGGATTATCTCCTATGACAGACAGAACGGCGGTTACTCACCAAAAATGGACTTTCCAGAACAGGACACTTTTTTTTGTTCCCCTGAAACAGTCCCATTCATACCAAAAAGACGACGACGGAGGTGAGAAAGGAGAGCTGGCGTTCTAGTCAGACTAAGGAGGGCAAATCATCCACCGCTTCCTGGTATTTTACTAGAAAATGTAGAGTCTCTGGACAATAAGGTAGACAAGCTCAGGGTGAGGATTTCCTACCAACGGGACACGAGAGACAGTAACGTAATATACCTGACTGAAACATGGCTCTTGGATTCCGTGCTGAATCCAGCTATCCAGCTTGCTGGGTTTTCCCTACATCGCACGGACAGGTCGAAAAAATTATCCAGGAAAAGTAAAGGAGGGGTTTGCTTCATGATCAACAACTCATGGTGTGACTGTGGTAATGTACAGTGCCTTCGGAAAGTATTCAGACCCCTTGACTTTTTCCACATTTTGTTATTTAAAAATTGATTAAATAAATAAAAATCCTCCGCAATCTACACACAATACCCCATAATGACAAAGCGAAAACAGGTTTTTAGAATTGTTTGCAAATGTATTACAAATAAAAAACAGAAATACCTTATTTACATAAGTATTCAGACCCTTTGCTATGAGACTCGAAATTTAGCTCATGTGCATCCTGTTTCCATTGATCATCCTTGAGATGTTTCTACAACTTCATTGGAGTGCACCTGTGGTAAATTCAATTGATTGGACATGATTTGGAAAGGCACACACCTGTCTATATAAGGTCCCACAGTTGACAACCAAGCAATGAGATCAAAGGAATTGTCTGTAGAGCTCCGAGACAGGATTGTGTCGAGGCACAGATCTGGGGAAGGGCAGCAAAACATTTCTGCAGCATTGAAGGTCCCCAAGAACACAGTGGAAGAAGTTTGGAATCACCAAAACTCTTCTTAGAGCTGGCCGCCCGGCCAAACTGAGCAATCGGGGGAGAAGGGCCTTGGTCAGGGAGGTGACCAAGAACACGATGGTCACTCTGACAGAGCTCCAGAGTTCCTCTGTGGAGATAGGAGAACCTTCCAGAAGGACAACCCTCTCTGCAGCACTCCACCAATCAGGCCTTTATGGTAGAGTGGCCAGACGGAAGCCACTCCTCAGTAAAAGGCACATGACAGCCCGCTTGGAGTTTGCCAAAAGGCACATAAAGACTTTCAGACCATGAGAAACAAGATTCTCTGGTCTGATGAAACCAAGATTGAACTCTTTGGCCTGAATGTCTGGAGGAAACCTGGCACCATCCCTACGGTGAAGCATGGTGGCATAATCTGTGGGGATGCTTTTCAGCAGCAGGGACTGGGAGACTAGTCAGGATCGAGGCATAGATGAACGGAACAAAGTACAGAGAGATCCTTGACGAAAACCTCAGGACCTCAGACCGGGGCGAAGGTTCACCTTCCAACAGGACAACGACCCTAAGCACACAGCCAAGACAATTCAGGAGTGACTTCGGGACAAGTCTCTGAATGTCCTTGAGTGGCCCAGCCAGAGCCCGGACTTGAACCCAATCTAACATCTCTGGAGAGACCTGAAAATAGCTGTTACAGCGACCTCCCCATCCAACCTGACAGAGCTTGAGAGGATCTGCAGAGAAGAATGGGATAAACTCTCCAAATACAGGTGTGCCAAGCTTGTAACGTCATACCCAAGAAGACACAAGGCTGTAATCGCTGCCAAAGGTGCTTAAACAAAGTACTGAGTAAAGGGTCTGAATACTTATGTAAATGTGATATTTCAGGGTTTGTTTCACTGTACCTTTTATACCGGCTGTAAACTTTGTACGTGACAAATAAAATTACTTTTGGATTTGACACACACACACACTCTTCTCTCTCTTACCCTGCGGTTCAGGGTGGTCTTGCTGCCAAACTTTGTCATCTCTCCGATGCTGTGCTGGGATAGCTTCCTGTCCAGCTCCTCATGCCAGCCTACAGACAGAGACAGGAAAGATGTGGATGAGAAATCAGAGCTAATAACAGACCAATCATTTGACACATTTAGTCATAGACCTGTCCCCGATTTTGGAGCTAAGGTTGTGTGCAATTGGAGTCGTGGGTTTTGCAGGTGGCAGTAGGTGTATGAATGTGAATGTGCGTGTGTGCGCGAGTCATGCATGGGTGTGTGAGTCCGTCTTTACCGTCTGATTGGTATGGATTACCGTCTGAGTTGCTAGTGTCTCCGTTAGCGGGCGCTGCCACACACATCTTCCTGGCGCTACTCAACCCCCGGCTGTTGAGGAAGACGGGCAGGTGGACGATGTTTCTCATGTAGTCATGGCCGTTGATGTTGGAGTCCCTGAGCACGCTGTTCAGGTTCTGATTGATGGCCTTGATGATGATGTGGGGGTCGCTGGCGAAGATCGAGATGAAAGGGCCTTTGGAGAACAGCACCCTCACCTGTTGGAGCAGGTAGAAACACGGTACATATGGTGAGGTTTGTGGGAAAGAAAGGTGTGTGTGTGTGTGTGTGTGTGTGTGTGTTTAACTATCGTAGGTACCAGAAGTCCTCACAAGGTGTCACGCCCTGACTCAGGGGACTCTTATATGTTGAGTCAGGGTGTGTGTATTCTTTGTTTGTGCATATTCTATGTGGGTTTTCTAGGATGTGCAGTTCTATGTTGGCCGGTGTGGTTCCCAATCAGAGGCAGCTGTCGCTCGTTGTCTCTGATTGGGGACCATACTTAGGCAGCCTTTTGGCACTAGTGGGTTGTGGGATCTTGTTCTGTATAAGGTTTGTTGTGTGTTACCTTAGGACTTCACGTGTCGTTGGTTTATTGTTTTGTCGTGTGTTTATTCGTGTTAATAAACATGTTTGCATATCACGCTGCGCCTTGGTCCGTCCCGTCCGTCAACGAGCGTGACACAAGGATAATAAAACAAGGGAAATTCGGACAAGTGGGGACATTTTGCCGGTCCCCACGAGGAAAAATACTATTTTAAGCTTAGGGGTTAGGTTTAGGGTTAGGGTTACAATTAGTTTAGATCCTCAAATAAATTGATCAGATTACAGAAAATTGTATTACTGTAAATAATACGAAAAATCATGACAGCTTCTGGAATCTTCGTGAGTGACGTATATGTGTTCTTTGTATTATTGGGACAGATCGTTTTCGGAAATAATTCAATTTGCAGATAAAAGCCCCACACAAGGCGAGGAGCTGGGGAACAACAGTTGGTCAAAAAACATAGCGATGTTACTGCTCGAGGTTATACCACCCTGTGACTGTGTGTGTGTGTGTGTGTGTGTGTGTGTGTGTGTGTGTGTGTTTGTGCCTCCTTAGGTGTGTGTGTGTGTGTGTGTGTGTGTGTGTGTGTGTGTGTGTGTGTGTGTGTGTGTGTTTGTGCCTCCTTAGGCGAGACATAAAAATAGCTGCCCTCCTCCTATCCCCGCAAAACTAGAATAGTGTAGCCATCAGTGTCGGCTTGCAATGCTATTTTATGAATGTCGTACCGTTTGTAAAACAGGCATTTGCATTGGCTTTATTCCTCATTCCTGACCAAGGCTTAAGACTAATCATTTTGGCTATTTAAGATGGGCATATGAGCTACCCAAGTTTATCAGGAGTAATTTTTTGTATATTTGCAATGAGAATGAATGTGTTACACAGCGACAAATGTAGAAGTATTTTCTTATTCGCTATGATCAGCTCGTAAAAAATTTACTAATAGGCCTACAATTGAAATCACCAATTCAGGACAATTTAGCCCACGGTGTGAAACTCCCGGACAGCACTCTTGAGTAGGGCTGTTGCAGTGACTGTATTACCGCCACACCGGCAGTCATGAGTCATGACCGCAGTAAAATTCCACGTGGCCGTTGAGTCACATGAATCTCCTTTTATGCACTCTGGACATGCCTTTGTAGTACCCAACTCACTAACGACCATCAGGTCCTAATGGCCTGGTACTCAGGGCTCTATTGTCCCTCTAACCACTCTGACATCAATGTAAATGAAAACGAAAATCATATCAAACACATATCATCCAAACAGTAGGCCTATTGTACTTTTAAAACTCACCTCACTGTGATGATCAATTTGAAGAAAGAAGTTCAACAGCAGGTTGAAACAGTGTAAAACATGGTTGTTGTGGATGTTGTTTCAAAGCCTAACAGGCTCGGGGCGGCAGGTAGCTTAGTGGTTAAGAGCGTTGTGCCAGTAACCGAAAGGTCGCTGGTTCTAATCCCCGAGCCGACTAGGTGAAAAATCTGTCGATGTGCCCTTGAGCAAGGCACTTAACCCTAATTGCTCCTGTAAGCCGCTCTGGATAAGAGCGTCTGCTAAATGACGTAAATGTAAAATGGACAGCGCTTTCTAAGGTGATGATTAATTAAAAACGCCTACACGCATATTAGAGCTTATGCATAGGCTCATGAGCGCAAGCCCAAAATAACAATTGTGATTTTGCTATTATACAATACATAACCTACCGCATATTACACATGGCAGAAAAACATAAAACAAAACTGATTTAAGATGTCTTTGGTACATAATTGGTCTAGCCTATACTCCAAAATTAAACAAATTAAGAGTAATCGCCGTTGAGTGTGGACTGTATTATTATGCATACTGGATGGGCTGGTTACCTTATGCTACGCTCCAACATTTCTATCCATGAGTCTGGGAGAGAACTTATAGCCCTAGGCAATGCTGTTGGTTCATTGATTGTGCAGTGCGGCTTACAGTTAGCCTACAATTAGTGAATTTGCATTGGATTTTGAATAGCCTAGTAATAGGGCATTTTTTATATTTTCATAATTAATTGGGTGACACATTACCTTTAGCTACAGAATATCTCACCACATGTTTCCATCTCCTCCTCTCTCTCCTTTATTCCTTTCTCGAGCACGCAGACAGGCTGTCAACAGTTTAGTGAAATATGTTTCATTGCAAAAACATGTTACTGTAGATGTTCCCACACAGATTTTACTTGGTTTCCCAAATTAAGCACTGGGTAGCTGCAGGAACAAGGTTGGAGAGCCCATGGCATATAGTTTGGCCAGAATATTACCTGTTGGGGCAGCGAGAGCATGCTCCTCAAACAGTGGTTGATGCGTGGAGTGAAATAAGTGTTCTTCTATTTATTTCTCAGCTGCTCATATTAAGCACATGCTCCGCTATAAAACCGAAGTAGCCTACAAAACGGACCGGCGGGAAAGCGTGTGGCTTCCATTCGCTATTCGAGTGCATACAGATTACATGTATTTTTTCCCCCTGCCCTGTTCCTGCCCATTTGATAATGGGCCATTCTAAATCAAAACTAACTTTACATGTTAGTAAAGACGAGATTAAATTGAGAATAGTCTGATGGGTGAAAATATGATCACTTGATGAGAGAACAGCTGTGCAGCCTGAGGCAAGGAACAGAGCGCAAGCTTCTTTCTCAAATCATCAATAGCCTATAGTCGCACCATGCAGCCCATATACGTTTTGATTTCTAAGATATTTGAAGGTTTGTATCATTCACAACTAAAGTTGCCACATAACTCTAAATCTAGCATATAGGACCAGTTTCAAATGATCACTTTTACGCTCAACATAGGCACTTCATATGTACAGTCGGTCCGTAACGGGAAAAATATCCTTTCTATTTTATTCAGCTAAATTCAATTATATTCTTCTATAAAATCCTCTAAAATCAAATCATGGCACAGGACTTATAAGCATATGTTGTCAGCTAAATGAACAAGCCCACAGCCTATGGCATGGAGCATAGCCAGATAACATAGGCCTACAGTAGGCCAACTCATATTCGGTTCTTCTGAAATACATTTTCTTCATATCATGTTTCTTTAGACCTGACTAAAATAAATAATGTATTTATTGTGATGGTGTATATTACATTGATTTATTATACCTTTTAAAATGTAGATGTTCCAAAGAGCATCAGTGGCTTGTATGCTTGGAGGCCTGGAGATGCTAAACGTGTTTATGTTAATTAATGGTCAATTACCGTGAGACCGGCAGTCTTTTGCATGACAATAACCGGCTGACAACATTTCATGACCGCCTCAGCCCTACACCTGAGTAGCCTAATTTCATTCCATATTGTCCATTTTATTTTGACCTGCCCTGTTTTTAGGATATGGTGTTTGTTAACATGCTAAGTCATTTTCAAATCGAAGTGCATTTTTATTTGATAGGGCGCGCCATTTTGGCAATTTGTCATAAATATGGTCTCCAGTCTGTAGGCTACAGAAAAAACACATAGGCTACTACTCTTTCTACAATTGGATACATAATTTATATTGCCGCGGCACTATGTCTCTCCAACAGCACCCTAGAGAGGCACGCTGGGCACGGACAAGATAAATATTTTGCGTCCCTTGCCTTGATGACAGCTTTGCACTCTCTTGGCATTCTCTCAACCAGCTTCACCTGGAATGCTTTTCCAACAGTCTTGAAGGAGTTCCCACATATGCTGAGCACTTGTTGGCTGCTTTTCCTTCACTCTGCCATCCGACTCATCCCAAACTATCTCAATTGGGTTGAGGTCGGGGGATTGTGGAGGCCAGATGGGATGGCGTATCGCTGCAGAATGCTGTGGTAGCCATGCTGGTTAAGTGTGCCTTGAATTCTAAATAAATCACAGACAGTGTCACCAGCAAAGCACCCCCACACCATAACACCTCCTCCTCCATGCTTTACGGTGGGAACTACTCATGCAGAGATCATACGTTCACCCACACCGCGGTTTGAACCAAAAATCTCAAATTTGGACTCCAGACCAAAGGACACATTTCCACCGGTCAAATGTCCATTGCTTGTGTTTCTTGCAGGTAGCTTAGTGGTTAAGAGCGTTGTGCCAGTAACCGAAAGGTCGCTGGTTCTAATCCCCGAGCTGACTAGGTGAAAAATCTGTCGATGTGCCCTTGAGCAAGGCACTTAACCCTAATTGCTCCTGTAAGTCGCTCTGGATAAGAGCGTCTGCTAAATGACTGAAATCTAAAATCTAAAATCTAAATCTTGGCCCAAGCAGGTTTCTTCTACTTATTGGTGTCCTTTAGTAGTGGTTTCTTTGCAGCAATTCGACCATGAAGGCCTGATTCACACAGTCCCCTCTGAATAGTTGATGTTGAGATGTGTCCGTTACTTGAACTCTGTGAATAATTTATTTGGGCTGCAATGTCTGAGGCTGGTAACTCTAATGAACTTATCCTCTGCAGCAGAGGTAACTCTGGGTCTTCCATTCCTGTGGCGGTCCTCATGAGAGCCAGTTTCATCATAGCGCTTGATGGTTTTTGCGACTGCACTTGAAGAAACTTTAAAAGTTCTTGAAATGTTCCGTATTGACTGACCTTCACGTCTTAAAGTAATGATGGACTGTTGTTTCTCTTTGCTTATTTCAGCTGTTCTTGCCATAATATGGACTTGGTATTTTACCAAATAGGGCTATCTTCTGTATACCCCTGTACCTTGTCACAACACAACTGATTGGCTCAAATGCATTAAGAAGGAAATAAATTCCACAAATTAACTTTTAAGAAGGCACACCTGTTAATTGAAATGCATTCCAGGTGACTACTTCATGAAGCTGGTTGACAGAATGCCAAGAGTGTGCAAAGCTGTCATCAAGGCAAAGGGTGGCTATTTGAAGAATCTCAAATATGAAATATACTTTGATTTGTTTAACACTTTTTCTTGGTTACTACATGATTCCATATGTGTTATTTCATAGTTTTGATGTCTTCGCTATTATTCTACAATGTAAAAAAATAAAAAGAAAGAAAGAAAAACCCTTGAATGAGTAGGTGTGTCCAAACTTTTGACTGGTAGTGTAGAAGATCCATTATTTCCTTAGAGCAAAGATTTCATTAGTAAACAAGAAGCAGCAAGTTCAGATGGCCTTGCTCCTCAAATAAATTGATCAGATTAAAGACAATTGTATTACTGACAGCTTCTGGAATCTTTATGACTGATGTATAACTGTGTGTTGTTTGCTCTCTTGGGACAGATCGTTTTCGGAAATAACTCAAAGGTTGCACAAGGGTGAGATGTTTAGAGTGATACGGTATACCCTATCACCCTGTGACTGTGTGTGTGTGTGTGTGTGTGTGTGTGTCTTACTGTATCCAGCATCTGCAGTACTTTGTCCTGTTCACAGGAGTCCAGGCCGTCTATGATGACAGTAAGACGCGTCTGGTTCTGAGTGAAGCCATCGATGGTCTTAGCCATCCTCGCCATCAGCTCCACCTCATTCTTTAACACCTGAGGAGGGAGGAGAGAGAGGTACAGCGAGATATAGAGATATATATAGAGAGACAGAGGGGGCGGGGGGATGAGACAGGTAGCAGGTATGTGTGGATGTTTGTTTTTGTGTGTGCATGCATGTGTGGCTGTTTGCAGTGCACCCTACCTTCATGAAGCCCTCGCTCTTGAGCTTGTGCATCTTGTTGGCGGCGCTGTGCAGCCTCTTCCTCTGGGAGTTGAGCACCGAGTCGGCCACCTGCCACCAGGTCCGGCAGTTGAGCACCAGCGCCAGGCCCACCACACTGGCCATGGCGATCAGCACGGCATTCACCGTCTGGTTGGCAACGTCCACCTTTATGCATTTTGAAATTGTCTTATTCATTCAACATTGGTGTTTTGTATCATAACAGCAGCAAAGTAATTCAGACTTTTTAATCCCATCTGTTTCAGAACCTGTAATAATGCTAAAAGACCAATAAGCAAGACTAATAAACGAAACCTTGAAGACGGCGAGGAGGGCCATGCCGGTGATCAGGCAGCCCAGGATGAAGACGAAGATGACGAAGGAGGGAACGCAGCATGTCTTCTTCCACTTCTTCTTCCCTATAATACAATCCATTTTTAATGACTATCAGAACAGAAATGTGTATTTTTGCTGCCTATGATCAATTTATCATGAAACATAGAAAACAGTAGGCATACAAATATTTTTGAAACAGGAGGTAGGCTACTAACTAAGCTTGTTCAATAAGAACATTCATTCTCATTGTCTCTTGGACGTTTGCAACCGTTTGTTCTTAGTTCCTACTGAAAACTGGTTTGTGTATTTACAAATGTAGTGACTGATAGTGACTCAAAGTAGTGCCAATAGTAAAACACATTTGCCCAAGGGGATTCAATTAAGTAAACTGAACTGACTAGTCTGTCCTTACCATGTGATTCCTCCGTCTTGAAGACCCTGAAGAGGCGGCTGGCCATGAAGCCAAACTCCCTCTCACAGGCATCAGACAGGGTAGCTATCATCTCTGCCAGGCTGGTCTCTCCTCCCACACTGGACAGACGGTTGTAGTCCGTGAACAGGAACCTGCAGGGACACAACAGTAGAGGGAGAGGAGCGGACACAAACTACAACTTAGAAAGGCTTTATATGGAATTCATAAAGTCTCCATGAGCACTACATAAATAATTCGCAAATACTTTACAAACCAAGGCATATAATGAAGTGATATAAAAAAAAGTTAATTACATCCAGGACTGATGTGATAAATACGGCATGTGATTGTAGTGTAGATTTCTGGCTTTGCCAAGAGGGGTTTGGTAGTGATTTTGGGTGGGTGAGGAGGGTTGTGTATACCAGATGGGCAGAGCACAGGTGGTCTGTGTGTGTGTGTGTGTGTGTGTGTGCGGTTGCGTGTGTATGTGTGTGTTATACCTGACTGGCAGGGCGCGGGTGGTCTGTGTGTGTGTGTGTGTGTGTGTGTGTGTGTGTGTGTGTGTGTGTGTGTGTGTGTGTGTGTGTATGTGTGTGTTATACCTGACTGGCAGGGCGCGGGTGGTCTGTGTGTGTGTGTGTGTGTGTGTGTGTGTGTGTGTGTGTGTGTGTGTGTGTGTGTGTGTGTGTGTGTGTGTGTTATACCTGACTGGCAGGGCGCGGGTGGTCTGTTCGGGCAGGTCAGGGGGGTTGACGAACATCAGTTTGAGCAGCAGCTCCAGGTAGCCAATGTGTCGTGCCAGACGGGTACTGATCACCCACGCCCAGTTCCAGTTCTCCCCCTCACGACGACTGCCAAAGTACACCACCACTACACAGAGAGGGAAACAGTTATCTCCTAACTGGATAATTAACAGCCACCACCACTACAGGACAAATGAAGACAGCCAGAGTTTAAAAACTGTTCCTGTGTCATTGAAAGTGTTTGGAAAAGCTAGTCAGTACAGAGAGAGACAGACTGTTAGAATGATCTCTTAACTGGATCATTAACAGTGTTTGGTAAACCAGTCAGTATAGTACATAGGCTATGTGTGTTAATATACTGTTTATTCAAGCATTAAGTCCAGTAAAAAGTATGAATCCTTTTTCTAATCTCCCTGCTATCCTAACTACATTGTTACCAGTCTTACAATATTGTTACTGGTATAATACTGCCCTCTAGTGTGGCACATGAAAATAACATAATCCTACTAGACTACTGGACTACATAGAAAATGGAGGACAAAATGACAGTCTCACTGAAGAAGACATAGACCAGGGCCAGCAGGCTCAGGGAGACGGCAATGGCCAGCGTGGGGTCGACGGTGAAGCCCAGGACCAGAGCTACAGAACCACACAGCAGCAGGGACAGGAACACCACAAGCCAGGAGAACTGGAACAACGGCTCCACCTGCTGGCCAGCAAATGTCTTCATCTCATCTGGAGAGGGGAAGAAAGGGGGAGAGGAAGAGGGGGTGAATGAGTTCATAAAATAATTTGTTAATATTAACAGCTATCTTATTATTAACATGTATAACATATTGTTAAAGGAGTAGTTCACTATTTTACAATAGTGTGCAAAGCTGTCATCAAGGCAAAGGGTGGCTATTTGAAGAATCTCAAATATAAAATATATTTTGATTCATTTAACACTTTTTTTTCTTACTACATGATTCCATATGTTATTTCATAGTTTTGATGTATTCACTATTATTCTACAATGTAGAAAATAGTAAAAATAAAGAAAAACCCTTGAATGAGTAGGTGTGTCCAAACTTTTGACTGGTACTGTATATATTTATATTTTGAGATCGCAGACCCCACTTTGAGAACCCCTGCTATGAATAATACTCTAATTCTGTTTTAGTTCCATACCCTCCAGTTTCTTGAGCAGGAAGGACTTGCCGCTGCCCCACTGGGCGTACAAGCCCACACAGATGGGTGGCTGCATTGTGGGCTCACTGAGGATGTCTGCCAAGGCACTGCTGTACAGGTCATAACCCAGCATGTCTCCGTCAGACTCAGTAGGGGACAGGTGGCCTTGGATGGGACACAAGACAGATGGAATGAGGTTACTTAAAGCTCTACAATATCTACAATATTTACCGTTGATTTAGTTACAAGTCTACAATATTTATATAAGTAAGATTGTCAGAGTTAGACCTTATATAACAGAACAGCGGCTAAAATGTGACTCCCAGTTTTATCGACTCCATCACACAGGTAATGTCCCTTATGGTATTCTACTAGATTTTCACTGCCGAAAGTAACTGACTGAGCTTCCGGAGAGTAAGGAAACTCACGGGCTCCAAAGATCTGGGTGAGGATGCTCTTCTGGTGGCTGCAGTCGATATTGTAGGGCGTCTCGCCGGCCTTGTTGGGCCGGTACAGCAGGCGGCCATCTTTAGGGTTACGGAGGAGGAGCTCCGCCAGCCTGCGGCTCCGCCCACGTATGGCGATGTGGAGAGGGGTGTCGCCTCTCTAGTGGGAGACAAGTAGGATCAGACTTTATGTCTATATAACTTGAGTCTTTTTTACGTTCTGTATGCCATGTATATGGTTTATTATACATTACAAATGGGCATAGATAGATTATTGTACAGGTCGTTCGGATGCCAGGTTTAATAAAGGTTAAATGGCAAAATATGTTGTACCTTATCCACAGCTGACACCTTGGCTCCTTTGTCCAGCAGAAGCTCCACTATGTCAATATTCCTCATCTTAGTGGCCTTGATCAGAGGGCTCTCTGAATCCTGAGACAAGGCAACACATGATCATGGTGACTACAGTAGGTGGCTGTGTATGTGTCTGGGTTGTCACATAGTGAAATATGGTTATTGTTTTTGCCTCTTACCTTGGTGCAGGTCTCTGTGTCTGGGTTGCACTGGAGGATATCTCTCACCATGGTGGCATTGCCTTTCTCCACGGCCCAGTACAGGGCTGTCTTGTTATCCTGCAAGAGGTCAAAATGTATTGTTGTAAGGCAGTTGAGGTGAATTGCATGTACTTTCTTCTATCATGTACTTTCTTCTATAATGTAGTGCTGTATGTCGCCGTCCCAAATGGCACCCTATCCCCTAAATAGTGCACTACTGTTGACCAGATCCCCTATGGGCCCTGGTCAACAGTAGTCCACTATATAGGGCAGCCTTTCTTTAAGTATGGGTTTGGGTCGCGGACCTGTTAATGGTGGGTCGCGACGTGTCAGAGTAAATGTATAATCATTTTATTATACTGCAACTGCGCTCTCTGTTCAGTGCGCTTTCTGCTTTGCAGCGGTGTCTGGTCAGTTTGGCAGCAGCGCAAGTGGGAGGGAGATGTGCGTATGCTTCGTGGTTTACCGGGTCTTTTCTCTGCAGTTTTCTTGACAATCACTCCGTGACCCACATGCTGCAGCGCTGTCATTCAGCACAAGATGATGTGCTGTCAGCCACTAACTTGTCATTCCCACTCGCCATCACTCACCACTGTCATCGAATGGACTCAAGCTAGCCACAACTTCTGACTAAGCTCAATCGTCATGAAACGCAAATACAGCAATGAGTTTCTCTCTCTTGGTTTCACACAAACTTTGAGAAATAACGAGGAGCGCCCACAATGTGTTTTGTGCGGGGAAGTGCTTAGTAATGAGTCTCTCAAAACGAACACATTAAAACGACACGTCCTAACCTAACAACCCAGGGAGTTCTTTCAGAACAGGGCAGAATGCTTCAGGAAACAGTGTTTCGACATTGGAAGAGTAAGTCAGCTAGCAATGCAATGTTGTCATTTTATAACAGGTGATGATTATTATCTCTGATAGTAGTCGATGTGAGTTTCTCTTTCAAACAATCCCCTTGTACACAGCTAATAGCTAGCTAGCTAACGTTAACGTTAGCCAAAGCAAGCTAGCTAGCTACTGATAGTGCAACCCTAAGTAACAGTACAGATGAAAAATGATCAGGTCTACCGTACATCTTACTGTAGAAATGACTGTTGAAAACAAGTCTAGGTTGGAACTGTTGCTGTTAAAACTGAACTGGAATAAACTGATTGAAGCAAGATGCTTTTTGAGGCAAACACACTCACACAGTTCTGGGTTGCTCATCTACAGCAGGAAGCGGTCTCCTGCCTGAATGAGAAAGCAGTAGATGTTCTGATCCAGCTTGGCACCACATACCTATGCGAGTCAGGGTACTCAACTCTGGCATATTTAAAAAACAAGTATAGAAACAGACTCAATGCTGAGCATAACCTCTGGGTTGCACTGTCAAAAACTGAGCCCAGAATAGACCTGCTTGTTGAAAACTTCAACCAGCCACACACCTCTCATTAGGACTGTGTGTGTTTGTGTGTGTGCATGTGTTTGTGTGTGTGTTTTCTGGTCTACTGTATGATGTGATCAATCAGTTTATTCCAGTTCAGAATTATAATGATTTCTTGTATTTTAACAGCAACAGTTCCAATCGAGACAGATATGTAAGAGTGTTTTTAATGGGGGGAAATAAACATGAATAGCTATTTATTTTATTTGTATTTGTTTTTGTCTATATTGCATTTATTTTAGGCATAAGCGCAATGAAATGTACCAATATTTACATATAGTTGCATGTTTTCATAAGCTTGGGTACCAGGAAAACACAGAATTTCTAATTTGGGACCCAGGCTGAATAAGTTTAAGAACCCCTGATATAGGGTATAGAGTTCAATTTGGGATGCACAGTGTGTGTCTGATCTGAAGTAGCCAGGTGTCAGACTCCTTACCTGTCCTCTGATGTCGATGTCAGCGTATTTGTGCAGCAGAGCCTTCACTATCTCCACATGGCCTCCTCTCACTGCTCCGATAAGCACTGTGTCTCCACTCTGCAAAACACACACACACACACACACACACAAAATAGGTCATAGGTCAGCATACAGCATCTACATTACATCCACATCTCAATACAGCACCTATAATACAAAATATGTGTCTGTGTGTGTGCTCCTTTGCCCACCCTGTCTGGTATGTTGACGTAGGTGCCAGCGTCCAGCAGGTCCTGTACTATCTCAGTGTAGCCCTCCTTGGCAGCGATCATCAGGGCTGTGTTGCCATCCTTGTCCGTCATGTTCACGTTAGGGTTCCTCTTCAGAAGCTCCTTCACCACCTCAGTGAAACCTCCCTTCACTGCCACGATCAGAGCTGTCATCGAGTTCTACAGGGGGTGGGACGGAGAGAGGGAGGGAGGGAAGGAAGGAGGGAGAGGAGATATGCAGGGAGGGAGGGAGAGAAACAGAACAAAGGGAGAAAGGAGAGACAGAGAGAAAGACAGGAAAGAATGAGGAGAGGCGTAGAGAGAGCTGTGTGATGATATTAAATCCAAATAACTACGCTTGATGTACAAAGCCTTTCTCTCTGACTTTAAACAGATGATAGGGCCTCCCGAGTGGTGCAGCGGTCTAAGGCACTGCAGTGCTTAAGGCATCACTACAGATCCGGGTTCAATCCCAGGCTGTGTCGCAGCCGGCTGTGACCGGGAGACCCATGAGGCGACGCACAATTGGCCCATCGTCATCCGGGTTAGGGGAGGGTTTGGCCGGCCGGGATGTCCATGTCCCATCGCGCTCTAGCGACTCCTGTGGCGGGCCGGGCGCATGCACACTGACACGGTCGCCAGTTGTACGGTGTTTCCTCCGACACATTGGTGCGGCTGGCTTCCGGGTTAAGCGAGCAGTGTGTCAAGAAGCAGTGCGGCTTGGCGGGGTCGTGTTTCGGAGGACGCATGGCTCTTGACCTTCGCCTCTCCCGAGTCCGTATGGAAGTTGCAGTGATGGGACAAGACCGTAACTACCAATTGGATATCCCGAAAAAAATAAACAGATGAACAGTGAGAGGTGTAGACCGCAGAACTAGAATACCGGTATGTATTAGAATGTCTGTTCATTAGAATGTTATTCTATTTCTATGGTGTAGACTGCAGACATACCGCCCCCTCCTGGTCGACATCGGCTCCGTTCTCCAGCAGGTGCATCACACAGTCAAAATGGCCCTTCCTGGCTGCCCAGATCAGAGGGGTAGTGCCGTACTGAGAGAGGGAAAGACACACACGGTTATCACAGGGTTATCCATACTGGCACAGGTCACTATTTCTGGCCAAACTGGGGCACCACTAACCCAAAGGCTGGCATTGCCCAGCCATGCTGCCCAATCTGTTGTCTCACCTTGTCAGAGCAGTTGACCTTGGCTCCATTCTCCAGCAGGACCTGGACGATTTCAGCATGACCTCTGCCTGCTGCCCAGATGATGGGGTAAACACTGTATTGCTGATGGCAGAGAGAGAGAGAGAGAGAGAGAGAGAGAGAGGAGAGAGAGAGAGAGAGAGAGAGAGAGAGAGAGAGAGAGAAGAGAGAGAGAGAGAGATAGAGAGAAGAGACATAGAGAGAGAGAATCAAGAGCAGAAAGAGAGATCAGAAAAGAGAGAACCCTACAAGAGATAGATATCGAGATATTAGCAGCTAGAGAAGAGAGAGAGAAAGAAAGCGAGAAGATAGAGAGACATAGAGCTCGCGTCTCTCTATGTCTCGTAAGAAGCTTTATCTCTAGAGAGAGATCTATGAGAGATTTACTAGCATATTTGTCTATCATTGCGGAGTTAGCCATGAATTAAAGGCCGCCCACAGGAGGGAATGCAGTCCCTAGGTGTGGTTGTTTCCAGGAGCATGGGGGTAATGGAGTCTGATACGTTGGAAGTTGCGGGAAACAATATGGACGCCTGCCTCCTGGGCTCCACCACCTCCAGTGCCTTTTGTTACTGTTGTGTTATTTGGTATGTTTTATATTCTTTATTGAGGAAAAATGTAGTTACTACGACTGTGATTGTCTCACCTAGCTATCTTAAGATGAATGCATTTTACATTTTAGTCATTTTAAGCAGACAGTAGTTTGTGCATACATTTTCATACAGGTCCCCCGTGGGAATCGAACCCGCAGCAAGCGTCATACTCTACCAACTGAGCCACACGGGACCACTAACAGTAAGTTGCTCTGGAGAAGAGCATCTGCTAAATGACTCAAATGTAAAATGTCTGAGACGGGTCATGATGACTGCTCACCTGTCCAGTAGTGTTGGGGTTGGCTCCTTGGTCAAGGAGAACCTTGGTTACCTCCACACGGCCCTTGTAGGCAGTCCACATCAGGGCCGTCCAGCCTCCCTGCAGAACACCAAACACACAACCTCAATTACTGTACAAAAACATTATCCTGCACACATTACAGTACCTTTAGGGCTTTGCATGCAAAAACATTACAAACCTAGCCTGTACAATTGGAAAGCCTGTACATTGAATAGTTCTGTGTTTTCATTGAAAGTACTAACTGAAGCGGACTGAACAAGCATACAAGTTCATACAATCACCAACACATTACAGTTATTACTGATTGTGGCCAGTTGAACTGATTGAGCGTCTCACCATGTCTCTGTGTTCTATGTAAGCACTGCTGTCTAGCAGCTCCTTCACCACATCTACATGGCCCTCCTTAGCAGCACAGATCAGAGCAGACCAGCAGTCCTGAGGGAAGGAGAATACCACATCACGTTATACCGGTCACCATGGAAACAGGGAGACGACCGTGACTACCGTTACCATGGAGACCTCAGGCAGAGTTCACAATGATTGGCACATTCCCAATGATTGTAATACTGAACTGAAGGTATTCGTGTCGGCCTTGAAATGAACGTGTGTATGTGCTCTCCTACTCACCACATCGTCCAGGTTAACATTGGCTCCTCTCCTGATGAGCTCCTGTACAATCTCAATACTGCCCTGCTCTGAAGCCAGCATCAAGGGCGTCTGCCCATTCTGGTAGGGAGGGGACAAAGGCAAGCAATTAGAAAGACCTAACACAATGAATTCTCTTTCTTTATACAGTAATAGACCAAATCTTCATTAGACTCTACCTTTTTAGACTGTGTTTCCCAACTGCCACCCTATTCTGTATATAGGGCACTACTTTTGAGCAGGACCCATAGAGCTCTGGTCAAAAGTAGCACACTATAAGGTGGTAGGGTGCCATTTAGGACACAGCCTAAACTCAGCAAAAAAAAGAAACATCCCTTTTTCAGGACCGTGTCTTTCAAAGATAATTAGTAAAAATCCAAATAACTTCACAGATCTTCATTGTAAAGGGTTTAAACACTGTTTCCCATGCTTGTTCAATGAACCAATAACAATGAATGAACATGCACCTGTGGAACGGTCGTTAAGACACTAACAGTAGAAAGAGGCCTTTCTACTGACTCTGAAAAACACCAAAAGAAAGATGCCCAGGGTCCCTGCTCATCTGTGTGAATGTGCCTTAGGCATGCTGCAAGGAGGCATGATGTGGCCAGGGCAATAAATTGCAATGTCCGTACTGTGAGACGCCTAAGACAGCGCTACAGGGAGACAGGACGGACAGCTGATCGTCCTCGCAGTGGCAGACCACGTGTAACAACACCTGCACAGGATCGGTACATCCGAACGTCACATCTGCGGGACAGGTACAGGATGGCAATAACAACTGCCCGAGTTACACCAGCAACGCCCAATCCCTCCATCAGTGCTCAGACTGTCCACAATAGGCTGAGAGAGACTGGACTGAGGGCTTGTAGGCCTGTTGTAAGGCAGGTCCTCACCAGACATCACCGGCAACAACGTCGCCTATGGGCACAAACCCACCGTCGCTGGACCAGACAGGACTGACAAAAGTTGCTCTTCACTGACGAGTCGCGGTTTTGTCTCACAAGGGGTGATGGTCGGATTCGCGTTTATTGTCGAAGGAATGAGCGTTACACCGAGGCCTGTACTCTGGAGCGGGATCGATTTGCAGGTGGAGGGTCTGTCATGGTCTGGGGCGGTGTGTCACAGCATCATCGGACTGAGCTTATTGTCATTGCAGGCAATCTCAATGCTGTGCGTTACAGGGAAGACATCCTCCTCCCTCATGTGGTACCCTTCCTGCAGGCTCATCCTTAAATGACCCTCCAGCATGACAATGCCACCAGCCATACTGCTAGTTCTGTGCGTGATTTCCTGCAAGACAGGAATGTCAGTGTTCTGCCATGGCCAGCGAAGAGCCCGGATCTCAATCCCATTGAGCACGTCTGGGACCTGTTGGTTCGGAGAGTGAGGGCTAGGGCCATTCCCCCCAGAAATGTCCAGGAACTTGCAGGTGCCTTTGTGGAAGAGTGGGGTAACATCTCACAGCAAGAACTGGCAAATCTGGTGCAGTCCATGAGGAGGAGATGCACTGCAGTACTTAATGCAGCTGTTGGCCACACCAAATATTGACTGTTACTTTAGATTTTGACCCTCCCTTTGTTCACATTATTCAATTTCTGTTAGTCACATGTCTGTGGAACTTGTTCAGTTTATGTCTCAGTTGTTGAATCTTGTTATGTTCATACAAATATTTACACATGTTAAGTATGCTGAAAATAAACGCTGTTGACAGTGAGAGGACGTTTCTTTTTTTGCTGAGTTTATAGATTAGTAGACCTGTAGGCCTGTTAGATAGTATGAGGATACTCACGTCACTTCTGCCGTCCACCTCCTTGAACTTGTCCAGGTGGGCCTTGAGTGCTGCCAGGTTCTCCTCCTCCACGTAGCTGAAGAGGTTCTGGATTGCCAGAGTGGTCATCTTGATGGAGGTGGTGGTGTCCATGGCTGCAGCTACTTCTCCTCACCACCACTGCACCTGCATGGTGAGAGATCATAGAAATAGAATGCTTCACTCCAATGCGTACACTCAAAATGGCTGCCAAACCACCCATTATGGCATAATTGACTTGGATGGGAACCCCCGTTCTACTCATTCTAGTTGTGTGGGAGAAAGACAGGATACTAGTCATGGGAAGCTAACAAAAATGTAATAAACACAATATATAGCCTAGCGCCAATAACAGCACCGCACATGCTTTTCCCCTCACTTGTTATAGGCTACCTTTCATTTATAAAAGGCTAGCCTATATCTACAGTTTTATATAAAAAGCAGTGTGAAACAAGTGAGTGGGTGGTGACCATTGAAACAGAATTAATAGAACGTGCTTGGAACCGCTGACCATGGGGAGCTCCATTCTATTCATTCTAATTCTATGGTGGGTGGTGACTGTGTGAGATGGAGATGTAACAGAGCACATAGCCTTGTTATCTGACCCTGGCAGCCAGCCAGTGGGTCGACTCACTCCAGTGCTACCTGGCCCAGGCCTAGGCCTAGCTATCTCCTGACAGATGCAAGCAATTTCACACTCAGAGAATCAAGGCCACTCACTCACTACTTTGGTGACAGGATTTTTACCCAGGCAGTCGAGGCAAGAGTTGAAAGAGATGTTTACTTGGTTTATTCAAGTTCTCCTGGCTGCTATCATCATCTGCCATGCATTTATTTTCTCACTCAGAGAATAGCCTCTGTTTGGCAATGCACACAGTCTTCTTCCTATTTTAGCGGCATACAAAATGGCAGCTAGTCTAATTTGGTTTTTAGTCTTCTCAAAGCATGTGCTGTTATTAGTGCTAGGCTGTATAAAGTGTTATTACAATGTTATTATCCATTCGTTTTTGGAATAGAAACAAATACATATATATATAGTAGCCTGTCATACTAGACATTCACTGGTAACACACCAATGGAATAGAAAATATTACAACCCAAAAATATATCAATGAAAACCAACAGTGCATGTCCACAACTTACCTACCCTATTGACAGGCTCTTTGGGGAAGATTATAGGCTAGGTAGGCAGCAGGCCTAAGTGATTTATCTTCCTGGCCTAACCATTAACACAAGTTGATTAATCATCATCCATAATTAGGGCTGTGATGGTCATCAAATTCTGGATGACGGTAATTGGCCAGCCAAATGACCGCGGTCTCCGTAATAACCGTTCGAATAGAGGTCACCTCTCCTCCACTCCTGACTGCAGTCATGTCTAGATGGGTACAGCTTATATCAAATGTTTGCATTTTAGCTAACCCTAACCCTTCTCCTAACCTTTACCTAATTCTCCTAACCTACAACGTTAATTCTCCTAACCTGCTACGAAAAGTCAATTTTGACATTAGCTGTATCCCATCCAGACAAAACCCCTGACTGCATGTGCTGCCATAGCTACAACACCTTGCTTGTTTCAGCAAGGAGCAACAACATTTCATGTTGTTAAGAGTCCATGTTACCGCAGAAACCGACTCAACCGCATGAATGCCCAGCCGTCCCATCTTCGGTCAGTATTATTATTATTCTTTTAAGGTTATTTTATTTTCATGATGGTCTTCGTCCATAACCGTCGTTACATGGTTATTCGGTAATTGTGCCAGCCCTATCCATAATGTAATCTCTCCATAAAACTGGTCAGTTTTATTACAGTAACTATATTCCTATCCAACACAATAGAGGCAAATACAGAAAATTTTGCCAGCCAAGCCTACAGTGTAACCTTAACACGCGTGGCAGGACGCACTTAATCAAGGCTCAAAAACAAACCCATTCTGTATGACATGAAACAATGACTAGCTTAACCAGCCTGGCCCTGCTGGCAGGCTGACAGCCAGTAAAAAAGCATTCCTTCAATCACCAAAGAGAGAGCACAGCACACACCTTCCAGCATTCCACCACACAACACCCACTGCCTGTTGCAGCAACAGTAACACAACAGCTGGAAGCAGCAACAAAATGGAGGCAAGGCAGCCAGCAAAACATCGAAACACATCACCGTGTGCTGCACTGCTGCCAATACCATTAACCTGTCGGCTGTCGCAAACAGACAGAGGACAAGGCGCAATTATTACACTTTTACAACCGTGCAATCTTACCTATGGGAAAAATAGGCCTACTGTTCTCTATGTGGGTTGTTTTTTGCTACTGTCATTTCACTCTGTAGCTTTTGCCTCCACATACACCGGCAAGACCTATTGACTAGGCTATTCTCCCTGGCTGTGGCTGCTGATATTGAATTATGTATGAGGATGAGGTACCACCCAGCCTCTCTGGCACATGCTCAGAGGTCATGGAACAGTGGAGCAACCAGGCCCAATATAGGCCAGCAGCACCACTGACCTAGAGACTATAATATAAATCAATTAAATGTATTTTATAAAGCCCTTATTACATCAGCAGTTGGTAACTTCAATACTCTGATGTAGGCCTAGCTGTGAGGATGGTTTGAACCGTTAAGACCTTCCTGTCTATCTGTGGTATACAACAAATAGCCTATAGCCCTAGATGGAATATGTAAGACATAGTACAGTATCTGTGGTATGCAGAAGATCAGGGTTTACCTTAACGCAGAATTCATCTTTTTTTCTAGCAAAAAAAAAGATGAAATGCATAAGAAATATCTTGCTGCACTTCTCAACTTGGATGAGAACATGAACGGGTATTCTATCAGCAGAGCCCTCTGACTGATGGGTAGCTACTTTTCTCTGGTAAAATTGATGATTAACTTAAACCATTAGGAAATGTAGCTGCCTACAATCTTTCTATGATTAAAAAAAAGACCTTGCTTTTTAATTGAAAGCTAATTTACTTGTGTGGCTGCTAGCCAATTTGCGTTGCACTTATGATGTCATCTGATGAAAATTAAGCTATTTTCTGCCGAATGTATTTTATGTGAAGTAAAAATATAGTTGCATACCCCTGATCACTCTATGGATTAAAAAAAAAAAAACTGTTGACCTTTAATATAAAATACAGGTGAAATGGTTTTCACTTTATTGTTTTTTTGACCAATCAGTTCAGCTCATAAAAAAATCTGATGTTAAAAGATCTGATGTGATTGGTTAAATGACCAATTAGTCGAAAAAAGATCAGAATTGGGTTGCCTGTGTGAACGCAGCCAGGCTATAAATATGAATATTGAATGTTGAAACTAATGCAGTGTCTCTGTATGTTGAGACTAGGCTCTATCTATTTATGTTTTGTGCTTCTCTGTCAGAAAGCAAAAGTACTGCAAAGTAAACATAGAGAAATTACATATAAGCTTGGTTGGTACCTCAAAATAACTTCAAATAATAATGCAAGGTTTTGAAATGAGAGATTTACGTCAAAATGATGCATAGTTTATGTGCATACTATGTGTGACACCACTTGTTGTTTTGATACGATTCATCAGGCTACTAAACTCATCATCATCATCATCATCATCATCAGGATGTATAAAAAATGACTCGTTCAATCGACCAATAGTGGCTAGCTAATTTCAATTTCCAACAACATTTAGATCTACCGTATCTAGCAGCTAGCTATTTATACCTATCGAATGTTAGCTTCCTAAACCATCGAATGGTAGCTTAGAGCGCGAGATATCACATCTTCTGAAAGAAAATAAATAGCTAGCTTTTCATTCCTGACTGCGACCATTATTGATTGCTGTATTTTGAATAAATATCAATGACCATAATTAGTTGATAACATTTCTTTGATAGCGAATATGACATTTGCTAGACGGCCAGATCTCAGACAAGAGAACATTCTGACCGGCTCGAGCTGTCAATCAAACGGCATCGATCAAAGGAAGACGCATTTTGATGCTCATACGTGAGAAATTGAGATTCTCAGTCACATACCTCTGGAGAAAAACGAATATAAATGTTCCACACTTCGGTGTAGTCGTCTCAATCCTCGATTTATATGCGTGTAAAGGCTCACAGGCTATTTATTCCCCATCCTCGACAACAGCCATTTTAGTGGACCAGAAAAATTCAGCACGTCAGTGTGGTTTCCTCACTGTTCGTCAACTCATCGTCCCCGCCTACAAACTGTGACGTATGGGAGCTCTGAGAAGAAAATGCTGGGGAGGTGCGGTGTCGCTACTGTACAAACTGAATTAGCCATTTACTTAAACTGCAACGTCAAGAATTATCGTATTTTATTACCTGACTAGGAAATATTTAATATTATGTCAAAGCTTTTTATTTGTGCTGTGGATGTGTTACACATTTCAAGTTATTGGTCTCATAAATTCCCTTTTTTGGTTTCACATTCATTCTCGATCCTAATTTACAAAGGAGCTGCCGTTTTGTTGGGAGGAAAATAACACGTTTTACCAGGCTGACTAATTAATGGTTATTATTTTATGTTGGGTCGAAGTCCAACATTTTATGTGGAGAGTAAAGGGCATGTGCTGAGCTGTTATGCTGCTATAGCCTGGGTAGCAGTTAGCCTAGGTATCCGCTAGATAGCAGCATTAATCAATGGTCTCTGAAGGCAGTGTATAGGTTTATTCACCTGGCAGAAATATTCAATAGCTTCTGATAATCTACACTGACTATGGCTAGGTTTCCATCCAATTGGCGACAGATTTTCATGCGAATATTCTAGAATCTACGGAAATCCAGTCCAGAGAGGGCATATGAATACAATTTAAATGTCCCTTGTTATGTCGAGATCACAATTTTGTTAAATTGCGTCAATTCAAATCTGGTATAGGAACAAAAAGAGGTCAATACGCGTCTTCTAAAATAGGCTATTATTTTAATTAATGCAAACACTTGAATGGTAAATATGATGTTCGTATATACGGGCCCACTGAAAAACCACGCAGGGCAGTCAGAGAACTGAGCTTTTGTTATAAATTCTTCTTTAAATACTCTGACAGAGATAGTTCCCGCTCCCTGCTGGGCCTGTCAGAGTAGAGCCTGGGTGTGGTTTAAACTTACCCAACCTATCGA